AAACAACAACTATGCACTTGCATTACGCTTTTCTGTACATTTCTTAGCCTTCGTTACACGACTACAACGTGAAAGTGCCTAATTTCATTTATTGTCGAGGACGAGAAGACAAGACATCAACTTTCTTGTTCTTTTCCTGAACTTTAATACAGTCCTTAAAACTCAACTCCAAAAACGTTTGCCATGAAGTTTGAGGCAGCGCGAGTTCACTTTTTAAAGTCAACAAGGACGGCGACTACGAATTTAAAAATTCGCTATTGTCAATTACGCTTACACACAAAGGCCAAAAGCGCCACGCGGAATCTGTGTTACCGTATTTTGTTTCTCATTACTTTTTCGGTTGTGGCTATGTCTGTTGCCAGAGATACAAGAAGAAATATTAACATTAACTGAAGAAATAACAACGAAGAAAAGTCTTTCAAGCACGAAACGAAAAGGTCTGGCTATTTTTCTAGCCACGCATTAGAGGAAAATCGGTCTCTTATTTTGACACAGCCTAGGGAGAGCAAGGGATATTATCCATAAATTCGCCGTTATTCATCCGTTACTTAACAGCTGCCTTTTCAAAACCGAGGCTTCATGAAACAAAGAATTTTCACTCACTTGGCCGACAGCTATGCAAATTTATTGCGACAAAAAAAAAACATTTTTACATTAACGCTGGCCACCGTTTCATCGCTTTGGAACACCAACATGGCGCTAAATAAAAGGAGTAAACCGCAAATACAAAGGAGTAATTAAAACATATGGGGTTTTAATAATTCTTAGTATAGTTTCGAAGCTAATTCTAATCCGTACCGTTTGGTCGGCCAGGGAGCCATACGCATTGTAAACGTACATTTTTGGTTTAGGTCTCTAGTATCGCCCAGTTCCTTGTGTCGGCCTAGATTTTCATGTTATACCATTAAGTTGCGGATCAGATAAAGGGGAGCCCGGTTAACCAGACCCTGAGATAAAGGGGGAGGGGGTGGTCTCAAAAAAAATTTTTTTCGGCCCTTTGGGCCTCAGTTTGCTAAAAAATAAAGGGGGGAGGGGGGACGGGCTCTCTGGGCCCCTTCACTGAATCCGCCACTTCTATTAACACATTAATGTCAGTTGTTGGAGAAGTTTGCAAAGACAAAAAAAAATTCTTCAAGAAACAAAAAACGAAAAAAAAAATAAACACTCAAACAACAACAAAAAAAACTAACAACAAAGAGCAACAACAGCAATAACAAAAAATGAAATAATGCAATAATAAAAAAGTTGTTCCCTTATGTCGTTTTAGTAATTGGCCGTAGACTGCAAACCAGTCGGTTTTTCTCAGCGTCACTTTACTTTTTCATTTACTGCTTGTTCGCCCCTGCCCAGTGACTTCTTAGAGATATGGACTGTTTTGCAGTTTAAGTATGGATTGGTGCCAATAATGCTTTGTAAATAACTTAGTCAAATTTTTGGCGAGTCAATTGTTGTCAACTTAAATTTACAAGTCAGAGAATTTACCATTTTGTAATTTTACAAGAGTCTATATAACAAGGTATATCGGTATGCCAAAATGGTCAATACCATTTGCCAGAGCTAGTCGACCAATTGCGTATTTTAATCTTATTTTTTTCTTAATTCTTAGCAGGCAAGCAGGAGATTGCACAATTTTCCGGTAGTGGTCGGCCTTACGGAGAACAAATAACTCTTCGGAGTATTTATTTGCAATGACTTAAATTAGAATTGCGCGCACATAATTCCTAATCACAAAATAGGCTTCACCAAAAAATGATTTGTTCGTCCTTACGCCTTCTAGTGATCAGTGTTCTTAAGGCATCAACTGAAGATAATCTACATCTACATGTACATGTATATATTAGGTCGGTAAAAATCGTTAAGACTTCACACCAACCGTAATATAATAACATAACATTCGACGAACTAACATTGCAAGAATGACCGCAAGAGAGGCATTCTGAGGCTTAAAAAACCCTACAATAATTCAAATTTAGTCAGGTGTCACCAAGATACAGTTAATGCCATGATTCTCAATCTACCTTATGAAGCGAAGTGATACTTGAACGACGGAAGTGACTGTTATTCGTCGGTGGCTATTGACAAGAGCCAGGTTTACCATCTTGTGTGTTTATGCCGCTCTTACTCAGTTTCACTGTCTCTACCAAAAGCACATGTTAGCCATATTGTGAGAATAGTTTCTGTGCGGATGTCAGAGCTAAAAATATTGCGGAAAGATTGGCGTACATCCAATTGTTTATTTTTTCTATTATTTCACACCTCAAGGCACCTGCTTAGACTGGAGGAATCCATATATATATGTATATAAACACTTCAATAAACTGTGCAGTAAATCATGATGCATAAAGTCGTTTTCTTTTTTCTGCAGCAGACTAATCCGAGTGTTGACTAATGACCGTCATCATTAGTTAAAGAAAAAAATCCTTTAGATTTAAGCTATGGTTTTTATGTACAGTTCCAAAAACTATGGTTAAAGGCATCCACGAGGAACGATATATGGTACAGAAAACTAAAATTCGAAAAAACTTGAAAAAAGAAATCTAAATTATTTGGTCATAATCGACTACGCCCTCCATTGTTCGAAAATTATAACCAACGATTCCCACCACTTGCCAAACGAGTAGCTCCAGTTTCTCTGTATCAAAACATTGTTCCTACAAAGTGTCTATGAAATCATCTCGCAATGGTTCGAAGCATTACATTTGGCAGGTCAACTAGTGCCAGTCTTCCTCGTGACTAGTCGAGAATCTTCTTTACCTTTCTTATACGGATCAATTTAGGTTTCGAGAAACTGCCCACCTACCCCTCCCCTAAGCGAGAGGAAAGTGTTAATGTTAGCTTGGGGGAGGGGTAGGTCTGGGAGGTTTCCCAGAAATCTAAAATGTGTTATCCGTGCTATTCCACGTGGCAGGAGGGCATGTTTATACTTTTGGAAATTTCGCGGCTAAAGTATTCATAGTCTTTTTATAAAATAAAAATTCTATTAATCACTCTCAGTGCTATGAGAGGCTGCAGATAAAATCCTTGTTTCTTTTGGTATATTTGCTAAATTCGCTGGATTTTTGAAGGCCCTCTTCGCCATGTGTCACTTTTCATTAGTCATTCAATGTGCTAAATTTTTGCCGATAAAACCTTTTATGTTTTCAATTATTTGCTAAATAATGAGGCGATATTTTCAAATACATTTTGTACATTTCATATACATATCCTTGCTATTATAATATTTGCTCAACTTTGTTAGTTTTTAATTTTGTTATTTTTGCTACTACTAGTAAAGATTTTTGCAAGAATTTTTTTGTTAAATTGCTCTCCAAATTTGTTGCGCTAGTAACTTTTGGCTTCAGTTTGTAATAGGCCAGTTTCGAATTATTAAAATGATATTATATACATTGTACTACGGTTGCGTGGCTGTAGGAAAGAAAAAAAAACTGAAATGACTTATAATTCCTGATTCATGGACATATCTCTGCCTCAGCTAGTCCCCCGGCGTTCTCTTAGTCTACCCCGTTGTCTACGCTTTTTCTGGGTTCTGGGAAACTTGGGTGGCGAGACTCTCACGGTGACGTCAAGGCTCACAATAGGGTCCAGGTTTGCCCGAGTCCGGCGGAACGCCTGGGGACTAGGTAAGAATATCTCAAAATCGTGCTTCTTCAGTTACTGAAGTGGGTTAAACAGCGGGTGACAGTTACCTGTTCGAACAACCAATCATTTTACAGACGTGAAAACAATGTCACGAGAATCGTCATAAACAAAACGGATAACGTTATTCATCATTTCTATTTTCATTTGAATAAAATTGCTTTTTATTCTTTCTTACATTTCTACTAAGCGTTATGCACTTTGTCTTTTTTACTACTAAGCAGTGCCTCGATAATCGTCTTTTACGAAATAGAAATAGGATTTTCTTTTGGATAAAGGATAATTTTCGCCAAAAATAAATATATATATGTGTGGACAACGTAAACATCGCTTTTAAATTGTTCAGCCACATTCATAAAAATGCACTTCAAGCAGTAGAGAAACAAGCAACTATCGAAACTTGCAGAATCCAGATTGAAAATGTTAAAGCAGCAAAGAATTTATTTACATTAACCACACGACGCTGTTTAAGTGAAAGCACTGCTCGGATGGCAATAGGACTCCAGTTACTTGTTTGCTTTTGAGTAATTTTTGTTGGTATACATTGACAAACACTAGCAGTTGGTACCTACCTTTCGTCTTGATGTCTGCTCGTGGCAGCAGACTGTGATGAAAGCATTTAAATCGGCCAAAATTCCGCAATTTTCCCCTACACTGAACTGGATCAACAGACACTTGAGGGAGGAGACTTTTAACACGCAAGATATCTGATGTAACCCGTCCCAGGACCCCACGTTTAGGAAAAGCCGGGCTATAACTCGGAAGGACCACATGCACCTTCTGCAGGGGGGTGGGGAGGGGGTGTATGACGACATAGGAGGCCCCCTTGATAAGAAATAGTAACCATGACAAACAAGGAAATGATAGGTAACTAGGATGGTTGGAGGTTCTTTGGTACAGAGATAAAATAAAATAAATGTTAATGGAGTTTACCCGTTTCCTGATGCCAGGAGGGTCTAGCTTCCCTGCCAGAATTCTCGGTAAGGTGGGCTTCGCGTGGCTAACCAGCTGATCGAGCCGTTTTTACTTTTTAGGAGTTTGGTTCGGTCCATGTCTGAATGCGGGTGAAAGAGATGTAAGTTCTTCAAAACGTTCGTAAAGACGTCACGTGGTCTCGCCAGTTTATTGTTTTAATTTGGGGTACTTGTTAAATACTTTTTACGTTTATAGCTCCTCGATGAAGGTTGTGTTTGAAACGAAATATCGCGCGTACATAAACTAATAAAAACATTTGTTTATTTAATTGGATATTTACTAACTGGAGTTCATTAATTAGGCTCGATTTCCGCTGTACTCTCGAGTCGGTTTTGTTTCGTCTCCGAGAAGAGGCCAAATTGGGGAGGAAGGAGGGCTTCTTTCCCGAAAAACGACTGGTAATCGAACTTACTCATCAACCTGCTAGGTTTTCACAGCCTAAAGAGTTCACTTAAAATTATCACGTATTTCTGGGTCCCACAAAGTCAAAATAAAGTCACAATCGAAGCTGACGTAAACGAACCCACAATACTGTTCGAAAAGAGTATGGGAAGTTTACCCGGTGGTACGGTCTACCTTTAACGCATCATTCATATATCATGGGCTATGGGTGGGTTACAGTAAGCTCATAAATGAGCTGATAACGGCTGCTAGTGACGCCTTGTACGCTGAAGTCCGAGCTTACTATTAACAAACTCAATAAACTTGAGTGACTGAGACTTGTTTTACGTCATGTAAAACACCAGGATAAATGTACCGCGGGAGAGGTACCGAGGAGTAATGCTTCTAAGCACACAAGGAACTTTATAAGTGGAAAGGGCTTTCACATATAGCATTGTTTGAAAATTTGAAAGCGGTAAGTTACCTTCTAAAATACAGAACCTTAAAAGTGTCAGTATTTTATGAAGAAAGTACAAATGGGTGTATCAGCTATACACTTTGCACAAACATTACATTTCCAGATTTTGTACACCTATTTCTTCAAGAATATTCGACACTTACAGTGCGACTACTCCCACCGGGGGACTTAAAAGTAGATTATCCAATCATGACGTTTTTTGAAAAAAGAAAAACAATTTTTTTTATGCAAACGGACCAACAACATTCATGGTTCAACTATACAAGATTCAACCGTATGAAATTACCCGACCTCTCGCGAAACAGCCTTTTATGAACGTGCGAGTAGTCGCATTGTAAAACTCATTTTATAATGAACAATGATTATGTGGTCTGTCTCCGGACAAGCTGAGTATAGACGTGGACAGATGTAAAATCACGTTAAGGACAAACGTCAATTTGAATCACGTTAGCGAGTTTTACCTTTACAGTCAAACTCCGCTTTACGGACACCCGGTTAATACGGACACCTCATTACTACCGACAGTTGGCTTTGTCCCTGGGGAAAGAAAACCCTTACATTTTGACTAAATTCATCCTACTTAATACGAACACCCCGTTAATAAGGACACCTTCTAGGGCCCCTTCAGTGTCCGTAGTAACGGAGTTTGACTGTACTTATTTTTTTCCGTTTTTTACTGTTCATTTCGTCTACATATAATTATTTACAAGTTGCATACCAAGTTCATCCGTAATAATTATCTCGGACAGTTTCTGTCTGTTCATTTCATATTATTTTTGAGAAACTGACAATGACAATCTGACGTTTGCCGTTTGTCGAAAAACGTGATTTTAAACTCCATTTTAGGTAATTATTTGACCTTTACATCATACTTTAGACAACTGCTTTAAAAAAGTCATCGTAGTAATGACAGTATAATACAACTTGACAATTCCGTTCAACACAACCAGTGTTCCTATTTATTTACACAATTATTAACTTAAGCAATTGTTTAATTACTAATTACTCTCATTCAAGTCGAAGAATTTTAGAGACATCTGGTCACTGCTCATATTAATTAATAATATCAACGGACAAACTTTATATTAACCACCCCGACAAACCATCCCCCAAAACAACGACAACAACAGAGTTCTTTCCTTATAAATGAAAAAGGAAAGCGCTTTGGATTGCTGAAAAAAACTGGTTCCACAGTCTCGTTCCCATGGTTCTCTTCTACCCCTAGCCTGGGAACGAGGAATTGTAGGAATTGCCCTGCTTAAAACAACACCAGAACACTTTACTCTCAGATTTAATTAACAAAGAAGATTTATGGGAATTTTAGACCAACCAAAAGCAACTCATGTAATTCACACAACCAGTCGTTTAGCAGTCATCACTGGAATCAGAGTCTGTGTCGTCGTCTTGGTTTTGTTGACCTGAGGGCGAGAAAAAAAAAAAAACAAAAGAAATCAAAACACTGTTAGTGAACAAGTACAAGAGCGATATCCTATAATGCAAGAGAAATATCAAAACGGGACCCCAGTTTGCCTCCGGCCAGCTGGGATTCTTTCTTATTGCGCTTATTGAAATACTTGTTCCTGTCCTTAATTAACCTGCGTTCCCTGAAATGACTTTTTGGTAGGGATGACCCAATTTCTGAAGATTTCCTGGTTAAGATTGTGGTTCACAGTTAAGGTGTACCCTGCAGAATCTGCTTTTTCAATCGTCTGTTCCCTTCCAGAAATTTAGGCGAATAAGTTAAAAAACTAGGCCGGTTTGCCAATTGCAACAGCCAAATCTGCTGTCGCGTGTTACCCGAAGCGCGTGTTTTGCAAAACTCTCCTTTTCGCACGCAATATATAGGCGATGCAAAAATAATGTCTATTAAAAAGAAGGCAACGATTTGGCAAAATTTCGCTATTAAAGGTTGATATACGTACTAAATCTGGCATGGTTGAGCGAGGCAAGCATGCGTATCATAAACGAAGCTGGGACTGTAATCGTGTCTCTGCTCTCCTCCAACATTTTCTCATTGCGACGAATTATCTGTAAAACAAACAAACAGTTAAGTCTTATCTCCTCTACCCTAAACCATCCTTAATCATTTCATATTATACTTTCGTGTTTACCTTTATGGGTTACAACGTTAAATCGATGAATGCCGAAATATTTACAGGTAAGTAGGTATCTGGTGCAAGATTTTTCTGTTGTTGATCTCTGAACTGTAGTTTTGGAGTCTACCACGCAACCGTTTTTTTTTTTGGGTGGCGCCACGCAACGCTGGAGGACGCGGCGATGCGTGATGGCACATATATTAAAAAAAAAAAAAAAACGGTTGCCTGGGAGACCACAATTTCTGTGGACAAAAAAGGGCCGTGCTCAAACTAAAGTTTCAAGCAGTGCAATCAGAATATAAGGTTTGATTTTTTTTTTTAAATTAACTGTCTGTGTTTTTGAAAATTTTCTAAATATGCCTTACAAGTAAAACAAATGGGGAGTTTCAAACACGGCAAGTTAGTGAAGCGTAAGTATAAATTAAAGAGTTTCAAGTACACACCTCCTCTTTGTCTGTAAGTTCTATGGGTTCTCTGGCAGTTGGTGTCCATAGTTTGACATCATAATCTATACCACTTGACGCCAGAACTAAAATCATAACAAACACTATAAAGATCGACCTACAGTTCACTATCTCTTAACGGCAGGGTTCGTATCCTTTTTGAACAAAAAATTCAAGGAATTTTCAAGGACGTTCAAGGACACATTTCCCATTTTTCAAGGACTCCATTCTGTGCAAAAAAGAGCCTTGGGTCTATGTCTTTTTTAGTTCTTCAACAACATGAGTAATTTTATCCCGAAGGTCTTTCTGTGTTTGCTCCTTTTACTTTGGAAATCTACTTTAACTCTTAAGTTAGCACTGAAATTCAAGGACTTTCCGACACCGACTGCAGTTTTCAAGGACTTTCAAGGCCTTTAATCTTCATTTTTAAATTCAAGGATTTTCAAGGACTTTCAAGCTGCGTGCGGACCCTGTAACGTACACTTTTCTACGACGTACAACTACAGTTGGTCCCTGCCTCAGTTCCTTAATCTCTTTGTTTGACCAACAAGATGGACTGATAGCGCCGGTCCCAAAAATGTGGGTCTTGGCGGAGGAAGTTGACTGTACATCAACGTCGGCAAGGAAAAAGCGAACACGAAAAACAATCAAGAGAAAACTGGGAGAAAAAAGAGAAGAGGGGGCGCCAGTTTACCTTCAAGCGTTTGCTTTTATCTATTTGCCCGTACTCCGTGAGGGCCGTTAACAGACCAACGAATTGCTTTTTAACACAACGCAACAAACGTAAAATAAACACATATAAAGGCGAATTTTCAAACTATTAATGCGTTTGTTGGCCAATAAACCTGACAAATGAGAGAAAAATGTTCCAATCAAAGCAACTACTGAGCACTGTGAGTAACTTGTAAACTGGCAAAACTATAGATAGATTTAGAATCCCGTTTACAGCACTGCAAACGACAAACGTCAGCTATTCATTATATCTACTCAAAAACAAAAAACATGTGGTCTCATCCAAGTTGATCTACTGTTCACTTCCTTGAATCTGACATTCAATTTTCCCGTAAACATGACTTTTGAACATTATCAAAAGAAACTGCTGGCAGGACCAAGGCAGAGGCGTCGAGCCAACCATAGAGTGCCATGTATCACTCAGGCTCCAGTTGTTTTATCGGTAGATAATGCAATCCACTGGATAATAGCACAATTGTTTCCCGAATGCCGATCCACCCACCAATGACATTTCCAGTCTTCATAGCTAGTAACAACACAGCTTAACTGACACGCGACTTAATTGACCAATCAGGTCATCAACCAGAGTTCAAAACCATCAACTTACGTGATACCACTCACTTTGACTCTTGAAGATGACTATCGCACAGGTTGCCGAAACGTCAGACACTGTCAATAACAGTCCTATTCAGGACTACGTTCTCCCGGACGATCATACTCAATCCACTTACGAAATGGCTCCTGGGTTCAAACTTTTCATAGCACGATAACATCACAGTAACTAAGGAATACATGTAGAAGAAGACTTACTGGGGTCGTATGGGTGTGGCTGAACACAATTCACCACATGCTTGTCCCCTTGAAGAATCATCACCACTTCAGAGCTATACTTGTCCCAAATGAAGATGCGCCCACAATCACTGCCGCTGAGAACAAAGTCCTCACCCCAGAAATTAGCTTCCTTGATCTAAAAAAACAAAGAAGCAATACGTGTATACTATCGACACGATGTATATTGCACTTAACGAAACGAATGAAAGAATACACAAAAATCTATCTTTTGAGGAGTACAGTAGCACCCCCGATAACTCGAACTCGGATAACTCGAATTCCCCGCTAACTCGAACTAAATTTCTTTTCCCTTGATCGAAAAGTAACTGAAAATTATCCCGAAAACTCGAATCCTCGTTCCTGTACCTCTACTCAGATGCCATTTCATTAGCTCTTCTTGCTGTATAATCAGTAAAAACACCAAATCTAACACTGGTTAAAACTTAAAGCAATTTGATTTTAATTGGTGCAACGAACAGATCTCGTAATATCATAAAAAATGCCCAATCATGTTACCGTTTCTAATAAAATAAGTTAAACTTGCACTGCAGTAGCACTATACACTGCGGGAAATGCTGCAAAATCAGTAACTATCAATTTTTAGTATATACACACTCAGTGATCTTGGTGATTTAAGCAATCTGATTGGTTCGCTATCTCGGACTATTCAACAATATTCACCTCCTAGCGAGTGGATAATGTGTGAGCTCAGTGTTTTTCCCATTTTTTAGAGAACGATCTTTTAAAAGTCGACAGAATCCTAGGGCTGACTTTTTTTAAGGCAAGAAAAGACTTGGAACGATTCAATACGGCGTTTTTCAATTTACTGTAGCACTCAGTAGTAGCAGGAGTTTTGTGCTCGATGGATTGTTTACAACTCCCGTGTATTCGCGTAGAAGAAGCCGTTTCCGTTTTCTAAGAAGACAATTTTGGCTCAAAAATCGAAGTTTATTTATGAAAAACAAATTTAAAAGGAAATGTTTGCAGAAATTCTACGTTTCAAGTAAACAGGAAAAAGAATGATACAGAAAGACGACGTCTTACCTCGAGCAAATGAGCCGCCATTTTTGTCAGCACTTCATGCGAGGAACGACACAACAAACCCTTTTGGCTATAAACGTGGCGAGTCAACAGAAAACAACACAGCTCTACTTTTCTTCTCAGGTAAGGAAACAGTTCAAACTTTTAGCGGTTCCATTTAAGCCATTACGCTGTTGTTTGCGAAATGATAAACTTGTGAATTGCCATGTTTGAAATTTCTGCAAAGATCTATTTTTAAACTTACGCGTGATTTGATCTGTCAATCAAATCGTACTTTTGAATGGTTTCCTCTCTGATTTTGTTGAGATCACTTCATGTGTATATACTAAAACAATTATTCTTTTCAATCTCGGTGAATAGTGGCTTTGGGAATATTTACCTCGCCGCTTTCGCGTCTCGGTAAATATTTTGCCACTATTCACCTCGATTTCAAAGAATAATTGTTAATTGACACCGACAATTGAATTTTGCAATCGACCTCGATACTCTCGCTAACTGGAACTGTTTTTCGTTTCCCTTCAGAGTTCGAGTTACCAGGGCTCATGTTCTACTGTATTTGCAACGAAAAATACTTGATCATATTTTGGAACTGTACCGAGAAATTTTCGACATTCTTTTGCAATATTTTGAAGAAAGTCTACGAGGAGGTAAGGTTGTTAGAACTTGAATAAACAGTAAAACAGTCGTAGAATTCGGCTTTAGTTTGTTCTGCAGAATTATGCAGATCAGTCTCGGTGGCTGTTACCTTGCACCTCGACCTTAGGCCTCGGAGAATAACACCATCCTCAGCTATCTGCCAGCCTTATTCTTCATAATTATCATAATCAGCCTCGTTGCATAAATTTTAGTAATAATTTGCTGATATAGCTTTGCATCCAATAGAATTCCCTATAATGCTTCACAGAGGAAAATTCTTCCCTGCCGAATTGAAAATGGCTTACAAAAAACTTCTAACTAACAACAGATTTTCTTACAGCAAGTACTAATATATCAAAATTGTTTATACGAAATTTCCTCGAAGTATGCGGTTATTCTAGAACACCTTAAAATAAAAAAAGTAAAATCTGAATCTAAGACCCAGGCATTCAAACAATTATTAATGTTCGTACAAAAAGCAAGTGATGTTTGTGACCATTATACGTTTCTGGGAAACTGCCCAGCTACCCCTCCCCTATGGCTAAGCCAGCATTTTGCCCTAAGTGAGAAGTAAGTGTTAAAGTTGGCTTACGGGAGGGGTGGGCCGACAGTCTCCCAGAAACGTGTAATGATCCGAACGAATGTAACTTTGCCCTAATTTGCACAAAAAAACTATCAAAATTTCCTGAGGCATTTCTGTTAAGGCCAAGGTCTATTTAAGTCCAGAAACTTAAAAAAGTCTAAAAAACAAACTGATTAACAAAACCCACCATAGTTCGAGCGTTCCGATGACCTTTATATACACGAGTCATTTCTGGGATCCAGACCTCCTGTTCGTAGTTCTGCGTGAATGACTTGGTCTTCTTATGTTGTCTATAAACACGCTGAATTCGGGTGGCGGCACTGGTTTGATTGGCAATTGCAGAGTTCTCGTTAGCGTTTCTTGAAGTACTTGGTTCATCGCTAATCGTAGGCTCAGCGCGCGTGCGTGATGAACGAGCGGTTTCTTGCGTGACTTCTGAAGAAGAGCTGTTTATACCTACTGGATGATTACAGCTCGCAAATGTTGAATTGTCTGTTGTTTCCGCTTTTCTAGCGTTTTTAGTTCTTTTTTGCGACTTGCCTTGCGGAGTACCTGAATTTCTTGTATTAGAGAAGCCCGCTTCATTAAATGATCGTTCGCTTTTAGATGTATTATCAGCGACGCTTCGGCTCTGCCGTCCAACGTCGTCTGTGTTTTCGGGTCCTCTCGTAAGTGACGACAATTCGGCCAAATACTCCGAGCTGTGTCCCCAGGACACTGTATCATTTCCTTCTGAAGTTAAAGTGATGCTACTAAGAAGGGTTTCACTAGAGCGCTCTTCAGATAAAGAAGTTCTAAAAGTGTCTTCTTCGGAATGCGGAATAAGCTCTAAAGATGTGGTACTCGAAACATTTATTCCATCCGAGTGGGAATGCTGTGCAGTTCTCTCGCCTATTCCGTCAGAGTGCGAATGCTGTGCAGTCCTGTCGCCAGTGGTTTGGTTCCGCTCAGTCTCAGGATCCATATTAATGGACCTTTCACCATCTGACGAACTAACTCTTAATCCTCTTCGGCTTCGGGATGCTTCAGAATTCCGTTCGTTTCCCCGACGCCTCCTTGGTTCTTCTCCGAATACACCCGAAGCACTACTCGATTCCGACGAACTACTGGATATATTCGATGGTGAAGATGACATGGACGAAGACGAAGTTGCTGACGACGAAGAAGCCGACTGCGATGAAGCTGACCTTGTTCTACGCCGCTGACCAGCACGAAACGATTCTTCGAGCCAGCGCGCAAACATATCAGACATGCGTTGCATCAGAGAATTCTCGGGGGAGGGGTGCTCACTTTCAGGCCTGGCGTTAGGGCCAGTGTCTGACCAGTCACCTCGAAGGCGCAGTCGCTTCAGAGGTGGCACATTCCTATGGCCGTTACTGCCGTTAGAGAGACCGCCTTCTGAGCTGTCATCGTGTACATCATGGGGCTGTTTCGTGCCTCGTAACGTGAAGAGGTACACGTAATCTGCACAGTAACTGACCAGTAGCTCGCTGCCGTCAGGACTGCAAAGCAAAATGATAAGAAAAAAATTATACTTCCTGGTGCAATATCACAAGTTGCATGGCTAAAAAAATATCACCATTTATTGAGTTTTACTTTTTTTTCCATTGAATGATTGCGAAGGTGTGACCCAAAATTTTTGGTTTTCTTACACTCAGTTCACCTTAATATTTAATGCGATTCTAATTTTACAGTCTATTTCCTGTAGAGTGAAAAGTTGAAACATATGTAGCGGTTCAATTTTCTCGTTGGTTTTAGTTTGATTACCCCTTCTTTTTAATAAACATAACAGGATTAAAAACCCCAATTGGCAGGAGGCAGCCAGTTGGCTATTTACAAGCGTGGCCAAATCCAGTAAGTGCCCGTAGTGGGACTCGAACCCAGACCGCCGGATTGGGAGTCCGACGCGCTGACCACTCAGCCACCCTGCCTCATCTGGGTATGGTTAATGTCAGTGTACAATAATAAGATTAAAACAAGAGGGAATAAGATAATTTACAAGTAAGGGTAAAATTACCGGAGTAACAAGATACAGTTGTAGCTGTAATATAGAAAAACCCCAAAATGACTGAGAAGCAAACAAAAAACTATGCAAAGAGTAGCTTTGACCCTTTACAGCAAGGAGCGCAAAAGTGTGACCACTTTTGATTTATTCACATTCTTTCACACAGATTTAATCCAATCAGAAGCCAGCTGGAAACTGTCCTCGACTTCTGCTTGGTTAATGTCTGCATGAAAGCATGTGACTTAATTTAAAAGGAGGTCACACTCTTGGACTCCTCGCTGTAAGCCCCAATATTGACCAACATCAATTTGCTCCTGACAATATCAGTACATCATTGAGAGAAAAGGTTATGAGAACACAAAAAAACACAATAAACAAAGAGACAATGCTTTGATCTTTTTATCAAATTCTCTTAAATAATTCTTGTGTATAGGCATAGGCACTAAGTAATTGATCTGATATGGTATCTGGGGCCCGTTTCTCGAAAGTCCCGATAATTAACGGGCCCGGTAAGCTGTCTCCGTTTACATTAAAGATCGAGGTTTCAATAGTTTTGCATCTAACATGATAAAACTGTCAGTTAATGAAACTAAATGGAGTAGTTTGCTAGCCAGGATCCGCGCTCTTATTCTTTATATTTCGATTTGAATTTTTGATTTCGGGCCCGTAAAGTTACCGGGACTTTCGAGAAACGGGCCCCTGGTAACCTTGCCACCAAACCATCTCACCACCAATGAAATCGCCACCAAGAATAGAACTTGGCTTCGCATTGTTTTGAACCTTCATGAACGGAAATTTCTTAACCGTTACTTTATTTTCATATTTCAAAGAAATGACCAGCGGGTGTAAAACGTTTCTGCCAGTTTTTTAATCTCTTAAAATGTCAAAGTTTACATTCATAGGACCTATAAATGTATTATTAGCATTTGCATTATCAAGATCTACATGTAAGACTTTTGACGTACGATTTGTCAATAAGGATCGACAGATTTGCATTTGGGTTGACTTTAAATGTGAACTGAAGAGCAACGAAGAAGTAAAAATCTTACAATGTAGGCAAGCAATCCTAGGTGTTATTTGAACTGAGTCAATTACTTCAGAGCTATTTGTTGGTGGCGAGTCGACTTCTTGGTGGCGAGATGGTTTGTTGGTGAGGTGAGCGTAGACCCCTAAAACAGCCTTATACGGGGGCACCCAACGAGGATATAGTTCTAAACCACTTAACATAGCATTGTTGAACGTATTTTAGTATTCAAACGGTAAATATAGGCATATTTTTATACCCTAAAAACTTTTCATCTGTTCGGATTTCCTAGCTGAAATTCTAGTGATCCGAAAATTATAGGGATAAAAACTTACCTTCTCGAAAATTTCAGCCAGGAAAAGGCTCCCGAAACTTCTAGGTGGCCTTTTTTAGGGTCAAAATCCGTTAAAAATGGGCATTTATACCATTTTGTAGATGTTCGAAAATCCTAGGAGAGGCAGGAAAGCAAGAAATTTTACAACAAATGCTCCGAAAATTCTAGATCTCAAATCGTCTTCCGAACAGATATTTTCCCGAAAATAGCCGTTGGGTGCCCCTGCTTATACTTGTCACCAGCCCTATTTGACAAGTTTAGAGAAATCACTTGTATGAAGTCTACCTGTAATTAAGTGATGTTACTCGGCATGTCCTATCACTAAGTGAATCTGGTCTGAACTGACAGAACATGCCATTCATCTTGTTAGAACTGCTGCTGCTTAGTGCTCGCCTGTCAAACACTCGAACAGTACTGTCTTCACATCCTAGTCCCAGATGGTAAGGTGTGATGGGGTTTAGGTTAATGGACGTCACAGCTTTGCCGCAGTCAATCAGAATATCCTGGATTAGGAAGGTATTAAGAGAGAAAACACCAAAGAAATGAAGAATAATGTGATCCTTACAAAAATTCAATGGAGGAAAATTCATACTTTTATGTTCAACAAGATCCAAACAGACAAATCGTGTCAATCAACAATAACTGCAAGTTACATGTATAACATGTTCGTAAGTCATTTTATTTAAATGGTTATTATTTTTTATCTGTGGACACTTTTTAACCAACATAGAGAGAGTCAAATACGGTGAGTAAAGATAGGCAGGGACCACGTCTAGGTGTCCATTATACCGAAGTGTCTGTCCTACAAAAGTACAATTGGTGTGAAACCATGAAGAAAGAGTTGACTGTATTTAGGATTTAACCGTGTATGAAGAGGTGTCCAATTAATATTATAGATCTGTCCCTTCATGGAGAGGTATACTGTTTTGAGACTCTTCAAGAAAAGCACATACCTCTTTGCAGTCTCTACAAAGACACTTTGTTTTGGTTCTGAGGTCAAACTGTCTCACAGTGCCATCCTCACCACAGCTTAAAAATGTGTTGGGATCTCCAGGAGTTGTGATGACCTGAAACACAACAGCATTATGACTGGAGTTGTTTTTTTCTTTTCCTTCAATGAAATCACACAAAGCAATAAAAAGCAATTTTTTTATGAATTATTAACAATGCTACACGTGGTTCCTTTTTCCCAGCATGGTTTGATACGCACACTGTAGCATCTTATAGTGTCCCCAGTAAGCTGGTATTAGCTAGACACATCGACACTTAAATAAAGTTGTTATGTTATGCTACTCTACATTCAAAACTCAATAATAATTCATAAAGAAAAAACAAAAAAAAATTAAAGATTTTGTCAGCTGTAAAATCCCTGTTTTTGTCATCTGTGGAGTTTTAAGGAATTGTATTGGGTGTTATTCTCTTCACCTGACCTTCACCATGGATCAAAACCTGCAATTCTGAAGATAACTCTTTGAGCAAAGGAAAGCAAGTTGTAATGACTCGTAATGGCGATTCACTCGATAGTACAAAGCAACTTTGGAGGTCAAGTGCCCTCTGAGACTTGAAATTGGAAACAGTTATATTTGATAAAACATTGACAATAAATACCGTTTCATAGTTTATTTCTGTATTTAGAAGAGCATTTTGTAATGGACATTTTCACATTAATTTAGTTCATGTCCCTGGGAGTTATGGTATGGGGAAGCTGTCAGCATATTGCACTGATAAAATTAACTTCCACCAAAAAATTTGCCGGTTAAAGGGTTAAGAGTTAACTTGAGCTCATCCTGCAATAATATGGTTGACAGATTTTGCTTAACATTACATGTACAACTGTATATCACTTTCTGTATATCTATATTTAAAAGGGACTCACAATGGGGCAGAAAAACTTGATTACAAGGTGAGCTTGCAGGGCCTTTCCCACTGCTGGTACTCAGCGCTGTTTAGAAAAAATCAGTTTTAATTATAATGAATGATCACATGTAGCCAAATGAATTACCTCATAAGTTGTTCCGGCATGACAGTCAAATTGAAACTGGCCATAAGTGGATTCCCTGTCAAGGTCAGTGAAGTGGATCATTCCATCTCCTGCACAGGACACTAGCTGTTGATATACATAAAGTACACGTCTCTCAGTCTACACTGTATTTGCTTTGACCAAGGACTAGTGCCCAAAGCATTGGCTTTCAAATTATTTTAACAACTTGGACAATAATTTACTTTTTTTCTACTCAGTACCAGGGTTGTCATTAAGAGCCGGGGGCCGGGGATTTTCCCCAGCTACTAAGAGAGTGGCCCCCGGCTACTTTTATTGGAAAATAGAGCAAAAATAGAACCAAAAGAAATCCCTAGCCGTTTGATTCCCCGCCTACTTGTTGTATTTACCCGGCAACTTGAAATCTTAGTGACAACCCTGCAGTACTTAGTATCAATAATATTATTGTACAAGCACATCTCTAGGTGAGCTGAATAACAACAAAATTGAAATTTTTTATAAATAACATAAGATTCAAGATACAACAATAACAAAAAAGAACAGGGAAGAAGCAAAACACTGGCACCAATCTTAGCTATTACAGTTCCAATCATTGGTTAATAAGACGGTGTACATGTACATGTACGTACATGTATTTCCATACTCTGCATTCAACTGCATTCTCTAAGTGAGGATGTCTTGAACTTTATTATTGTCAAATGAAAGTAACTTTAATCGCAGCTGATTGCCAAGTTTCTTTCATTCAATAATAACTATTACTTACCCGTCTATCTCCTGAGCAAGGCAGAAATTTTGCACTGAAAATATTAGCTCTGTGCCCAGATCGTATGGAGTGCACCAACTAAAAGGCAAATCATGGAGTCAATAAGTAATCAAAACCATCACTCTTGAAAAGTAACCCTACACTTGTACACATCTGGTTCACTCATTACATGCTGAACAGTGAAGAAAAAATGTTATTTTTATCTCCTTGAATTTTTGTACGGTGTGGCAACTTTATTCTTTATATCACTCTGCTATAAAGCAGCATCAACACGGTTTGCTTAAAATAATGGGTTTCCCACAACATTATGGTCCTATGAAATACAGCGCTCTGTTTTTTAAAGTGGAGCACTTTTACATAGTACAAAAAATAAGCAAGAAAAAGGTTGACACAAATTTTTGAAAAAATGCACATGATAAACAGGAATGCTCAAAGAGCATGAGCTTGGGCTGGCTACAATAACATTGACAGGATTTAAGGCACATTTAGAGTGTGGAAAAATTTGACCCAGACCAATTAAAAACATGGTGTGGTACCAATAACTCTTGTAATGACATACTGGAATTTCTGCAGGGCCACAGGCACCTATTATACAAATGTAATTAAATGTACAAGTAGGCTATATGTAACCTGTCTGTTAGATGGCCTGTATATGTTAAGATGACAGTCGTCAGCACCAGACAGAAGGTATTCACCACTTTCATTCCATGCTATGGTATTCACCTGAAGATATAACAAAACAGTTAACATCAGATTTCCATGTCTGCTACATTCTGAAAACATTATTCATTCCCAAAATACTATCCGAATTATAAAAACTACAAAAAATATTGTTCAAAAGCTTTCTTTGAAAGTTTATGCATGGAGCTTTTTGACTAGTATTTATATTTCTTCCTCCTTTTCTAATTCATGCCACAGTCTAAAGGCAGTTGTATTTATGTGACTGCTGCAGTCTAACCTCTCCTTATGGACACCTCCCTATTACAGACAGTTTTTTTGGTCCCAGAAATGCCAAAAATCATACATTCCCTACCTCTTGAATACGCACACCTCTGTAAATCGGACACTGTCTTGGTTCTGTCCCGTTGGTGTCGGTATAAAAGAGGTTTGACTGTATTTGATTAGGAAGACCATCAGTTTTGTTAATTCACACATTGAATTTCACTATTTCTCAAGTTTGCTGGGTAACTTTAACTTCAACAAAAAATAGAGGTACGAACTGTTTGGTTTCGCTGATTATGATATCGATATGAAAAAAAATGACTCAACATAATACTTTCCCTAAACAAACAGTGTTCTCCAGAAATTCTTAACTAGCCAGCCCTCAATTTAAAGTAGCAGACGCCTGGCACTGAGCACCCATAGGGCATGATCACCTAGGAGAGTCTGGGGGCATACTCCCTCAGAAAATTTTTAAAAGATAGGGGCCTAAAGATGAAATCTGGTGCATTTTGAGGCTTACAACAACAGGAAAATCAAGGTCAATTTATAGCAGCCTGTCCCCAGTTATTTTATGGAAAAGACTATTTTAGTATTTAGGTTATTTTCTTTAATTTTAGTTATTTTATGGAAAATTCAAGATTAACACAAGTACAGACAGTTTTTTTATGTTTTGAGTAAAAAAAGTAGCCAGCACTTCTGGAGAACACTAACAAAGGCTTAGAAGTGCACAATACCTTATTGGTACTTTTCATGATTTTTGTGAGACATTATTTTGAAGGGTTTTATTTTTGTGATTTCATCAGGCAAATATGAAAAAGAGCATTAAATTTCACAATTTAAGAGTTTTCAACTTCCTCAATTTTTCTCTTTTGAAAAGTCTGCACTCATTAAAATTTCTTGATCAGCTAGAACAAGCATTGTGTGAAATCTTTGCAAACTAACATCATTTCACAACTTCAGATACAAAACGGAATGTACCGGTAAAACCAGTTACCAACTAGTGTATTTGTCAATAACTATCTGGTATATCTTATATATATATATATATATATATATATATATATATACTGTATGTTGCAGTTAATTTTTTATTTCAGGTAATTTCTGTTTTTCCTTTGTTTCAAATTCAATAGCATACATTACAATAAAATAGAAAAATAATACCTCGTGTTCTTTTCCTAAGGAAAAGAACACGAGGTACAATCTTAGAAATACGTCAGTCTCTGTCCCTAGAATCTACACTGACAGGTTAAAGAACGTTTTTAGTAACAGAATAATTTTTAGATATGATATGTAAATAGTTTTTTTTTTGAGTTTATATTGTAACTTAGGATATGTAATTTTATCCTAAGAAATAAAGATTAACATTATTATTATTATTAGTATTATTATTATTATTAATGAAAAAATAAAAATTAACTACAACATATATCTCTTGTATGTTGTTGCTTTTACATGTTGATAAATTTTTCTGTGTTTTGAATTTTCTCTATTGGTATTAAATTTCACATGCTTAAATTTCACAAGGATTTAAATTTGAGGGTCTTAATTTTTGCGATTTTCTTTCAATCACGAAAAAAAGCAAAATTAAAGACCCGTAATATTTTCTCCTCCTCCCCTTTTTGCACGTGCCACACAGACTATGTGAGTGTTCCAGGCCTTTTGGTAAAGCTTGTCGATGTAAATAAGTGTTAAGGGATTTATCTTGAAACAAAATTATGTAATTTGGGAGGGCACCCTTGCTACTTTGTTTGCAAGAGAGATGACTAATATTTCATCAAGGTATTCCGAGATGTTTTATAAAGCCAGGGTCTAGCCATCCTTGTTTTTAAGGCTCTGAATGGGGCCAATAAGATAATACAGTCGAATCCCGGTAACTCGAACCCTCTATAACTCGAACCTCCCACTAACTCGAAGCAATTTACATTTCCCTTCAGATCGTTTTTACCCTCGATAACTTGAACTCCCGGTAACTTGAACTACTTTCTCTTTCCCTTGAGGGTTCGAATTATCGGGAGTTGACTGTACATACAAAACCTGCTTATGTATAATAATATACATTTTTGTACTCAAGCTTTACATGTAATTACCCAATGTTCATGATCACCTTCTGATGAATTATACGTTCCAGTCGACTCATTTTGTGATATAAACACACAAAAAAACGGCAAAAACAACTTACGCAGCCTTCGTGTCCAGTTAAAGTGATTTCCTTCTGCAGGCACTGCACCAGATATTTACTTCCTAGGCAAGGATAAACATACGACTAATGATCACCGAAAAACAAACAGACGAAATTATCGTGAAACATGAACAATAATTAGAGTCTTCCTAACTAATTGGTTCATTTTCATTGAAAAATTGCTAGGATACTTGAAGCCATAACGCAACAACATTGAACAACAATAACATACAAGATCCCCTGTGGGTATGAACATCGCCAGACAGTGGGTCAACGAGAACAAGAAATTTCTCACATACCTCGAGCCTTTTTCAGCACAAAACCAGGGGGATGGACGCCAAAAACCCGCTGTTGTAAAGTGTCATACAAAGTTGTTCTGTTTTGCATTTTTTTACCGTTCTAGGAAGAACAGACTTTTCTAAACACGACAACAGCGGATGCAGACGAATCACCCACATAAAATCGCCATCTTGGATTTTGATGCAGTTCGAAGGCAAAGCGCATGCGTTTATTTTGTTACTACAACAATGTAACCGCGCCTACCGGGCGAATGGGGGATTGTTGGCGACATGGGTCAGGTTCCTTATGAATTTTGGCCAAATTTTAAGCAAAGTTTTCTAGCCTAGGAACAAGCAACTAAAGCATTTAAAATTATTTTTTACCTTGACCTTTTTTGAACAGTCAAGTCTTTCTAATGATGGACACTAAAGATGACTGCCTTGAAAAACTGTCCTATGAGTGAGTTGTCTGTAAGTAGACTCAGTTTGATGAAATGCCTTTGGGTCCCTGAACTTATTATTAATGTTACAGTACTGAAACCAGCTATTTTAAAGAAACTGATTTCAATTTCATTTAGTCTTTTAACATAATTCAGCATTTAGGCGACTTAACTACAAATTTCGGACGACATAACTTCAGGCGAGATGACTTTCGGGCGCCTTGTGTTTGTTTCTTTTGCTCTTTGTATTTTGGCGGTTCAGGGGCCCGTTTCTCGAAAGTCCCGATAATTAACGGGCCCGGTAAGCCGTCTTCGTTTATATTAAAGATCGAGGTTTCACAAGTTTTGCATCTAGCATGAAAGAAACTATCAGTTAGTGAAACAAAATGGAGTAGTTTGCTAGCCAGAACCCGCGCTCTTATTCTTTATATTTCGATCTGAATATTTGATTTCGGGCCCGAAAAGTTACCGGGACTTTCGAGAAACGGGCCCCAGGGGACGCATTGCAATGCCCCATGGTCATGGAAACAAGGAAGACCAAAAGTAAAAACAACACGAAACAAAACCAAACCTAGGGGAAGGGTGGGGAGGGGGCCACTTGACCGTAAAGCCTTACTCGTTCCCAGTCATCTGTATTTGGATCGCACGCGTGCCACGCTCTCCCCTTGACCGCACTTACCTCGCTGAAATATAATAGTAGACTGACAGTCAACTGGGAACGAGTCAGCCGTAAACCGAACCATCTTGCAATAGGAAGGCGAAGGAAGAAGACAGCAAACCTTGTGTGATAGTCCTAAAATTATTATTTGAAATTTTTTTCCGCCAAACTTCACCTTCCCATTTAAACACAGATCAGTTTGTTAAAGACTAGAACACAGGAATGTTAAGTGATGATCACGGCAAAACTCACGCTTGTGCTTGGGAATGCAGGCAACATCAGTTTGCTTTAATATCTATTTTGTGAGCCCCGCCTCAAGGCAGGGCGATGAAAAATTAGTCTATAGACTCATTCAGTTGTTCTCCTCCACGGAAATCTTTAGTAAAAGGCGAAAGATTTGTTCGTGATGAAGGAAAACCAGAGGTAACGTGGATGGAAAGCCAAGAGTACTAAGTTGAGCGTGAAGCGAAGAGCCTTGTGGGCAGATTATAAATATATATCATTTACATGAAACGCATGCGTAATGTACAAACTAAAAAACCAGAACCAAGAACGCTTGTATCAAATGATGGAGAGTTAAATACATAAAAAGATGAATGATAAATAACAGCAAAAATAAAACTCAAGAATAAATAAGTCAAACATACTACTTGCGCGCATAAACCGCGCCCAGCTGATTTGTAAAACTCTGATTATGACGTCATACAATCATTTGGAACTTCTCTTCGAAGCGAACAGACGTGCGCATCGTGTGAAAAGACAAAAAGTTTCGTTGTAATCATGAGGATTATATTTTTGCTTACCGCGTTGGTGGGCTTACTTCTGCTTTCAATTACGCTTAACGCAGTGCGTGAAGGTAAGATCTTTAGGTGTCTTAAAAAGAGATTGGGCGGCTTTTTTTTTTCGAGCACTGAAAAATATTTTCCTGTAAGTTTGCAGCATAATTTTTGTTAGTAAAATCAAACGTTTGCATCATTTTTTCATCCAACTCTATATAATATGGAGAATTTTATGGGCCATTTATCTGTCATATAAGTAATCTTTTTTTCTTAAAAAGGGGCACTTCACACTTTTTTTAAAATCATGTTTTGCAAAAGTCAAGCTTTATTTCAGTTGCTATGGTACCAAGAATGTTATACGTGCTCATTACTCCTTGCACAAGCTCGCGCTTCGACGGTTGCTTGTGACGCGATCAACAAATAATTCCTGAAGAAGATAAAATTTTATAGATCTTTAACATTACTCTGCGCCACAGAGAAAACTAAACTCTGGTGTAAAAGCTATGAAAATTCTTATCTTTTGGGATCAGGGTTTTTATATGATATTAAATTATTTTTGTTCTTCAAAAATCTTGAACTATAATCTGTAACCAAGTCAAGTTTACGGCCAATTTCAGGCAAAGGTTTTAAATGGAACATGATGACCAAGTTCACTTTTGAAAAGTTACAGCCTCTTTTTTTTCTGCAGACCCTGTCATGGCTGAAAAACCAGATTTCTTTTATGAAGACTTCGCCAATGGAGCAACTGTCATCGGAAACTGGCAGGGGAAGGTAAAAGTTTCTTTAAGGACTGCATGGCTGCGATAAACTAAACCATTAGAGTTATTTATTATCACATTTGCGGCAAACGGCAAATGAATTTGTACCGCGTAACCAAGTTTTCTCTTTACTTGTCTTCAATTGTTCTTTGCTTCTACAAAAAACTTTCAGTTCCACGTGATTTCATCTATAAGAATTGCTTTGCGCTGTTTTTATCAGCTTATTTTCTATTCTTAGAAATTCTTAACTGAAATCTACCGTTTGCCGTTTGCAGGAAGCTTGACTCTAAATCTCTCCATTGTTGTCTTTCTTACTATAGTGGCCTTTTTTCTGTTTAGTATACTTTCGACACTGCTCGCAAGTTTAAATAACTTTCAAAATGAAATCTTGGATTCTTATCATAACTTATATTATTTTGTTATTTAAAACACTGGACCTCAGTTAACCGACGGTTAAGCCAAATTCTAAGCAAGATTTTATCTTCAAGTAACTGGAGCTATTAAAATATTGTTGGGACTAGACCCTGAAGTTTGGTTTCAAACAGTTTACAACAAAAAGAGATTAAAAAAAGCATGATATAAAAGCGTTAACTTGATATCCATTTATTTCTAGCCAATCTTTGTAATTAGTCCAATGAGCATCAATTGTAATTTATTTTCTTCTTTTCTTCAAACCTTTATTTGTTTTCTTTGCTGCTCTTACCACAGAATTATATCATCAAGATGCAAATTAAAACCCTGAAACTTGACTTAAAAGTGGTTGTTCGAGACACTGGCTCTGCACAAGGCGATATCTACACTACTTTCCAAGAGGAACAGGTAACAGACCGCACACAGTGCATGTCAGTGCGTCTGAACTTTCAAAAAAGTAACGTCACTAAATGATCAGTCAAACTTCAAAGCTTGCATCGAATTGCTAAAAGGCAAACATATTATTTATTTTCATGAATAAACTGTGGTTGATTGATTTTTTGATACTTTCAAAAAAAGCGAACGTAGGGTTAGACTTTTGGCCATTTAACAATCAAAAGATAACCGTCTTAAAGCTCAGGATCAGTTTTACTTTTTCTTTTAAAATTCTTGATTTTATTTAGAATCACGACTCGCAAACCTGTTTGAACCCAGAAAGTGCACCTCACTACAACAACCAAACTTGTGAGCCCAGGCCTCTGAGTTTAACGGAGCAGACATGGAACAAATTACGTAGGAACACAGTGGCGATAACAGCTTGGACATGGGACGGAGTAAACAGGGCATCAAAAACAACTGTTGACTTTGTGGCGACAATGACCTGTAAATTTTGCGGTGGAGTTAAGTTTACGGCAGAGTGGATCTTTGACAAGGCCCCGTTTATGGCTGAGTGGACCTGGCAGCAAATCTTGTGGATGGCGCGGTGGACTTGGAACAAAGCAACCGATTTTGTAGAGTGGACTTGGTGCCAACTCACTCACCTGGCTAACGGAATTTGGGATACGATTTCATGGAATATTAATTTCTGTTTCACTTCGATTTGCGCCTTCGTTGATACTGTTTCTCAGCTGTACGCTGTATACGTTAAGAGTAAGTGAAGAAACTGTTTGTAAAGTAAATTATATCAGCACAGCTTGACCGTAGCAGTTAAGAAAACACTTCAGACACAGGAACTGGAAGGGTATTTTCGGGATCTGGGATACGGGGCGGGATTCGGAAAAACGAAAAATATCTTGATGGGAAACAGTAGGTGTTTTTTTGAAAAGTTGCCTGACGCTCAGTCAAACGCCAGATAGGACTTTCTTACCAAAACATAGCAGAAACTCACTGAGGTTGAGTACTCAACTCGTCGCACCCGTCTAATCGAAGTGACTTGGAAATTTTCTGAGTGTAATGATGTACTGTTTCGTTATCCACAGCTCACGTGACATACATCAGATCTCTGTTCGGTGGTATTACCAGACAGGAAATCATCAGAACACTGATTACAAGTTTTGTGTTGGTTTCTACCGTGCTCTTCATTAACAAGACGATCAGATATGTGATTCGGAGACGAAGGTAAGTGAGTCCTGTCGACTTGCACTTTTAATTGAAACAAATGTACATGGCAAGTAGATCAATTCTCAAAACACGGCAACAGAATTGATCCGAAGCGCCAACTAGTTTGCTGTTTAGAAAATGTTTAGATTTACACCGTTATACTGTTGTAGCGTTTCCTAAATGACCACACCGGTGATCGTCTTTGAACAACGCGAGGTTGTTCTTAGCAAATTCTTGCGGGTAGTTTCCGTACAGTGTCCTTGGTCCTTTCGTTTTGGACCTGAACATCAAATCATCAGTCATGGAGTGTTACGCGGGTAATCTTTTAGAGGACGGGTAGCTTGCAAACCAAACTGAACGCAGGGTTGTCGGAACAGCAACAAGAAGATTTATTCCAAAAATGAACGTAGTTTCCACAGAGTAAAACTCTACAACAGCACGTAACTCGATAAACTTACACGGCCTCCGCCAACTTGAATAAACTCTGCCTTCGTCACACTTGACTAATGTATCGGTCAAATCGAAGCTTCAACATGCCCCCCCGGGCATACCCCGGCATTTGACATTTGAGGAGGGAATTTGATGATCAGAGTCTTCCAGGGGGTGGGGAATTTGATCCCCATGCTTTAGGGGTGGGGACTTTGACCCGCACCCTCGATTACATGTAAAATCTTTGGCGTGGTGAGCTATCATGGGGGACGCGGTGTTAGAGGATTTTCGTGGAAAAGATTGTGCCTTTGTGGCCAATTGGTTACGAGGAAAGGGCTTAAGCAAGCTTTGTGCCGTATTTGAAGTATTTAAATTTTAAAATTTTTAATTGGATTCAGGCTTTGAATGTATGAATGTATTTTATTGTTGTGTTTACATTGAAATACAATACCTATACCGGCGATTCAATACAACAACATAAAATAAAATAAAATAAAAAGCTCAGGTCAACTACTTTGACTTTCTGCAAGTGTGTTAACTAACAAGGTGAGCGATGATGCCTGTCAAGTGAAATGGTCATGATATAGTAATCTCAATAGGTGGAATCCTTTTTTATAGAACGCTTTGTATGTTGCATGACGAAGAAAAGCTGAGCATTCAGTGACCTTGTAGCAGCGATTTCCGCCGCTTTGCACGGGAATTTTGTTCCTAGTAAATACGCTAACAGTGTTTCTCAGTTTTTGTTATATTTACAAAGATTTTGTTCGACAACTGAAGGCCTTTTCGCCGTTCTTCTGTCATTTTTGTGCCTGTGTAATGTTCCCAGGGTGGGGGCATTTGATTACTTGAATGGACCCTAGTGTGGGGCATTTGAACGGCATTTTGGCCCGGGTAGGGGGGAATTTAAACAATAATTTTCAAAAAAGTCAAATGCCCGGGTGGTTGCCCGGGGGGGCATGTTGAAGCTTCGATTTGACCGATACATAAACACGACCTACGTCAAACTCTCTTCGCTTGTGAAAACTAGTTAAAACTTAACTCGAGCTGTCCTACTTATATACTTTTACAATAAAGTTCTAGAACATTCCAAATAGTCTAATTATAGAAAGATTACAAAATATACCGCTTTTAGAAACGCTTACATAAGATCCTAAAATAAACAAGCTATGAACTCTCGCGAACCCTCTAGAAAGTCACGCTAGTCACGCAATACAATTTTTCGTAACATGGAGTTTAACAAATGTCATTTGTAAAACGTTTGTAGAGAAACCAGTTTTTTGCGCCAAGCTTAAAACTTCAGCAAGTGATCAAGAAATTAAATAGCCTGAGAAAACAGCCGACATTTGGCGACGCTAATCAAATTTCCCACGCGGCACGACCAATCAGAAGCACTACCCAGATCTGGGTAATGACGCGTCATCAGTATGGAATTTCTGCGCTCGTTTCTCAGACGTCATTTGGCGGGGAAACCAGTGGTAGCGTCGCCAAATGTCGGCTGTTTCCTCAGGCTAGAAATTAAACAATATGATAAAGTTGCAGTCTTTCATAGCACAATTGAAATGACCCAGAGATGAGTATGAATTCAGATGACGTCAATGGTTGAGTCAGCTTGAGAAAGCAGCCGACATTTCGCGACACCACCGCTGGAAACCCCCCGAAATAACGTCTGCCTAGAAGCGAGCACAGAAATTCCGTACTGATGACGCGTCACTACGCAGATCTGGGTGGTGCTTCTGATTATCTAAAGCAGCTTGACCAATCAGGAAAACTACCAATATCTCGATAGTGACCCGTCATAATTATGGAATTTTCTGCGTTTCTCAGACGTCATTTCGCGCTGAAACTTGTGGTGGAGTTGTGAAATGTTGGCTGTTCCCCCAGGCTATTGCTAGCTCCAAAATTCGAATCTGCAGGGTGGGTATGAAAGGCAGATCTGGCGATTAATTAGTACCTAGAGATAGAAAATACAGCATCTAAGTTTATAATCTAGGAATGTTTTTTCACTTGACAGACAGGCGCGGTTGGAAAAGGAAGCTGCCGGACGTGTAGCACCTGCAGCTTCTCAAAAGCCAATATGGCGTCCAAAACCGAAGAAGAAAAAGAAAATTGACAAGAAGGGCTGGTAGTCTTCCCCTTATAGACTTATTTGTGGTTATAAAAAATGTGATGTTTGATATCTTCCTCAGAAATAATCGATTTATGTATGTACAACGTCCTCTGATTTTTGTTCAAAAACAGTACCAATGTATCACTCATTAAAATACAATTTGTGACACTATCGCCTGGTTCCGTTTTTAAGTTGTTGTAGCCTGCGTAGCAGGCGCCGGGTTTTATCAGGGCGAAGGGAGAAATGTAGAGGACGCGCGCACACGAGGAGAGAAAAGGAAAAGAGAAAGACAGACTAATCCCCAAAGGTGATGGAAGCCAATAGAATTCTACGCACTGCCAGAGATCGTAGAAAAAGGGAAAACTAGGGCGTTGACTGCAGGCGCCTCCTCTTTTCACTCCATGTCAAGGAAATCTGGATTCCAGAATCCAGGTAATTTTTTCTTGTGAAATCCGGAATCCTGGGCTTTGGAATCCGGAATACAGCTCAAAGAATCTGGAACCCTACTAAAGATTGGAATCCAGAATCCAAATTTTAATAACAAAGACCGGAATCCAGTACCTGGAATCTGGAATCCAGGGCGTGGAATCCAGAATCCAAGACTGTCCTTTACACGGGGTAACTCTTCCCTTAGCGTGTTCCCCACCACCGTTACCAAAACGAAAAAAGTAAGAAAGAAAAACGACGCTGGGTATTGATGCTATTGTTGCTGTAATTTTTCGCGTCCAAGGTAAGTTGATCTGAGTCTTTTCAAAGAAAACAATAAACGCACAAGTGCATAAACAGCTAGTGTCACGTCTGCTCCTCCGACGGGTCAAAATATCCAGAGGAGGATCTTTCGTCTCTGGTCTCGTAAGCTAATGCTATGGTGACCAACATAAGCAGGGATCATGAAGAGGTGTAGGTCAAGCTAACAGCCTTTGGGACGACTTCTGTTTTTTTTTCAAGGGAGGGAAGGCTCCAATATGGGGTCTAAGATTCCTATCCAGACTTATCCAAATTTTAATACACTGCTAGACTGAGAGGCCTTAAATTGCCCCTACCTGCTAAACTAAATTAGTAAAATCTAACTAGTGGTGTACTATCAATGCTGCGTTCTGATTTGTTGAGCTACTACTAGGCTATATGTTATAGCCCACTAGTAGCGAAGAGCGCCCGCTTTTTGGCGGTAAAAAAGGATTAAATTCTAGCTTAACTAGCTAAAGTTGTTTTGTCTCGATATTTTTGACCAACTAGTTGGATTTTACTAAAACAATTATTCCTCTTCATGGCCCCTGAGTCAATAGAGGCCTCATGGGCTCCTGACTCATAGCCCATTCGGACTCGAGGATTAATTGTTAAAGAGCCTTTCATACGGTCGATCATGCGATTTAGTTTGTTTTCCTTATCAAGGTTCGTGACCACAGTCAGAGTTATCTTTGCAATATATACCTCTTATTAGCCCAGTTTATGATATGACTTCTTCTAATTTGAGATCAGGTTCTATTCTCGTTTCGCTTTGTAAATAACATTCCGGCGGGCATAACGAAACGAAAAGAAAGGCCCAATTTTGGCGGTAGCCGTTAGAGAGAATGTATGAGAACCGCTCAAATTGGGCCTGATCTCAGGTTAGGCTTCTTCCTGTTTGCGGGACCGGAAACAAGTGCAGGCCGCACGATTTGACAGTCATTTGACAGGCGTCAAAAAAGAAAGTTTTTATTGGCGCACGAAAACAATAGCACATAACAAAAGATTTCCGAGAAAGTAAAAACAAATTCGCCATGTCGAAAAGTTTATTCGGTCAAAACTAAGAGCACTGTAATTTTTAGCTCTTTAATGTAAGGCTGGAGTTTGGCTGGAGTATTTTTGAAACCGGATACTTCTGTCTAGAAGTCGTTTCCATCTTTCCTCCGTTTGTCCTTGTCAAAAAAACACTGCAAAAGGCAAAGAAGCTTTTCCAGGTAAGTTTGTCGTCATTGTCGAAGGACTCGCTCGTTAATTGTGTTTGGGAAAACCTCTCTTTCTGCCAGTTCATTCTCGTCTTCAGCTGTGATCTGCGTTAAAATTTTCAAACACCGACTAGAATTCTCTTCCTCGGTAAGGTTACGGCTTCTTTCTCATTAAAACAAAGCTAGGTTAAAATTTGCAAGGGCAAAGTCAACATCCTAGTCCTCAGGGTTTACAGACATATTTTAAAGTTTATTCCGTCAAAACTAAGAGCACTGTAAGTATTCACTCGTTAATATGACGCTGGAGTCTTTTGAAAACTGGACATTGTGTCTGGCTCGAACTCCCTTCTATCTTTTTTTCGTTGGTCTTTGAAAAAACACTGCAAATGGCAAAGAAGCTTGTCAAGATGATCGGGTGCAGGTATGTTTGTTATTATTTTGTCGAAGAAATTACTCATTTACTCTTAGGCAAATCATCTCGAATCTTTGCCAGTCTTTTTTCGTCTTCTTAACTGTGTACTACGATAAAATTTTCAAACATTGACTAGAACCCTCTTCGATAAGATTTGTTAGTTTCTTCATCTCCTTCGCTCACAAATAAACACAGTTTAAAATGTTGAAGGCCAAAGTCAACATCCAAGTCCTCAAGGTTGACAGGCGTCTTATAACTTTATTTAAACCTTTTTCCGAGGAAAAGAGTTTTAGAGCTCCGAATTGAGCATTTTCTTTAAAAACTTTGGTCCGTACAGCAAGTTACGGACCGCAAATTGACCAATCGCATGGCGAAAACAGACTCAGCCATATAATAATAACACATATTCTAGGGTTGGTTTGTGGCTAATGTATTATGACAAGTCACATTAGTTGTTTAGAATTACATTACAAGTTGTAAAATAGCATCAACATAAACCGTTCTTTCTGTCTTGAATTCGTTCTAAAACAAATAAGTATTTTAAAGTAGCTTCCACGACTTCCACTACAACTGGCTTTTAGCGTAGAGTAATGGTCAATTAGGGTTTTCAACAAAGGCCTGTTTACATTTAAAATAGAGGATTTACGTTTTATATTTGAATCTTAACTTAACCCCTTATCTAGATTTTCAGGAAATAACCTTTATCCTTATTTTGGTTAAAGTTTTGGCTTCTTTCTAGTGTTTTGATCGAATTCATAAGTTGACGGTTTTTACTTCCATTTTCTAATTTTTTTTTTACAATAATGGTATAGAATATTTCCCAATTCACAGGTGTTGTTTAAGGTATATGTAAATATCTATTGTTGTAATTTCTGCTCTCTACCGCGAACTGCATTTTTAATTTGTTCTCTGAGTCTCCAGTCACGTCCAATAATTAGAGTCTTCCGAAATAATTGGTTCATTTTCATAAAAAAAATTGCTAGGGTACCACACAAGTTTGAAGCCGTAACATATCACGTTCAACAACACTTAACATACAAGATCTCCTGTATGAACATCGCCAGACAGTAGGTCAACGAGAACAACAAATTTCTGACATACCTCGAGCCTTCTTCAACACAAAACCCGGGGGATGGACGCCAGAAACCCGCTGTTGTAAAATTTCATACAAAGTTGTTCTGTTTTGCATTTTTTAACGTGCTAGGAGAGAACAGACTTTTCTGAACACGACAACAGCGGATACAGACAAATCACCCAATAATGTGGTTGGAAGGCAAGGCGCATGCGTTTATTTTGTTACTCCACTAATGTAACCACGCCTACCTGTCAAGTGGGGGATTGTTGGCGACATGGGTCAGGTTCCTTATCAATGCTAGTTTAGGCCAAATTTGAAGCAAAGTTTTTTTAACCAAGGAACAAGTAACTAGAGCTTTTGAAATAACTATTTCCTTTGATCTTTTTTGAACAGTCAAGTCCTTCTGATGATGGACACTTTAGTGACTGCCTTGGAAAAGTATCCTATGAGCGAGTTGTCGGTAAATAGACTTTTTGATGACTTGCCCTTGGGCTCCTGTCTGAACCTATTTTTAATGTTACAGTAATGAATCGAGCTATGTTATAGAAACTGATTTCACTTTCATTTAGTCTTTTAACATAAGTCTGCATTTGGGCGACTTAACTATAAATATCGGGCGACATAGCTGTGGGCGAGATGACTTTCGGCGCCCTGGCCATTTTTTGTTTGTTTGTTTGTTTCCTTTAATTTTGAAGTGGAAAAAAACCAAGAAGACCACAAGTAAAAACAACACGAAAGAAAACAAAACCTAGAGGAAGGGGCCACCCCGACCGTAAAGCCTAACTCGTTCCCAGTCACTTGTACTTGGATCGCACGCGTGCCTCGCTCTCCCCTTGACCGCGCTTCTCTCGTTGAAATATAATAATAGACTGAGAGACAACTGGGGACGAGTCAGCCGTAAAGCGTAAACCACGGGCGAAGCCGGTGAGAAGACAGCAAACCTTGTGTGATAGTCCTAAAATTATTATTTGTTATTTTTTTCAGCCAAACTTCACCTTCTTTCTTAAAAACAGATCTTTTTGTAAAAAGACTAGAACACAGAATGATCACGGCAAAACTCACGCTTGCTCTTGGGAGCGCAGGCGACATTGGTTTGCATTAATATTTTTTGTGAGCCCCGCCTCAAGGCAGGGCGATGAAAAATTAGTCTACAGACTCATCAGTTATTCTCCTTCACGGAAATCTTTAGTAAAAGGCGAAAGATTTGTTCGTGATGAAGGAAAACCTGAAGTAACGTAAATTGGAAGCCAAGAGTACTATGTTGAGCGTGACGCGAAGAGCCTTGTGGGCAGATTATAAATATATATCATTTACCTGAAACGCATGCGTAATGTACAAACTCAGAAACCAGAACCAAGAGCGCTTGAATCAAATAATAGAGAGCTAAATACAGAAATAGATGAATGATAAATAACAGCAAAAATAAAAGTGGAGAATAAATAAGTGAAACATGCTACTTGCGCGCGCATAAACTGCGCCCAGCTGATTTTGTAAAGCTCCGATTATGAGGTCATACGATCATTTTGGAACTTCTCTTCGAGGCGAACAGACGTGCGCATCGTGTGAAAAGACAAAAAGTTTCGTTGTAATCATGAGGATTATATTTTTGCTTACCACGCTGGTGGACTTACTTCTGCTTTCAATTACGCTTAACGCATTGCGTGAAGGTAAGATCTTTAGACGTCTTAAAAAGAGATTGGGCGGCTTGTTTTTTTCGAACACTGAAAAATATTTTGCTGGAAGTTTGCAGCATAATCTGTATTAGTAAAATCAAGCGTTTGCATCATTTTTTCATCCAACTCTATATAATGTGCATGGAGAATTTTATGGGCCATTTATCTATCGTATAAGTAATCTTTTTTTCTTAAAAAGGGGCGCTTTACACATTTTTTAAAATCATGTTTTGCGAAAGTCAAGATGTATTTCAGTTGCTATGGTACCGAGAATGTTACACGTGCGCATTACTCCTTTCATTAGCTCGCGCTTCGACAGTTGCTCGTGACGTGTTCAACAAATAATTCCGAAAGAAGATAAGACATTATGGATCTTTAACATTACTCTGCGCCACAGAGAAAACTAAACTCTGGTGTAAAAGCTATGAAAATTCTGATCTTTTGGGATCAGGGTCTTTATACGATCGTAAATTATTTTTGTTCTTCAAAAATCTTATCGTGAACTTTATTCTGTAACCAAGCTAAAAGTTTACGGCCACTTTGAGGCAAAGGTTTTAAATCGAACTTGATGACCAAGTTCACTTTTGAAAAGTTACAACCTCCTTTTGTTTCTGCAGACCCTGTCATGGCTGAAAAACCAGATTTCTTTTATGAAGACTTCGCAAATGGAGCAACTATCATCGGAAACTGGCAGGGAAAGGTAAAGGTTTCTTTAAGGACTGCGATAAACTAAACCATTAGAGATATTTATAATCACATTTGCGGCAACGGCAAATGAATTGGTACCACGTAACCAAGTTTTCTCTTTACTTATCTTTAACAGTTCTTTGCTTCTACAAAAAATTTTCAGTTTCACATGATTTCATCTATAAGACTTGCTTTGGGCTGTTTTTATCAGAGTATTTTCTGTTTATAGAAATTCTTAACATGAATCTACCGTTTGCCGTTTGCAGAAACCTTGACTCTAAATCTCTCTATTGTTGTCTTTCTTACTTAAGTCGCCTTTTTTCTGTTTAGTATACTTTCGACACTGCTAACTGCTTTAAATAACTTTGAAATCTAAGATTCTTATCGTAACTTATTTTTGTTATTTAAAACACTGGGCCTCACTTAACCCACAGTTAAGCCAAATTTTAAGCAAAATTTTCTTTTCAAGTAACTTCAACTCCTAAAATATTGTTGGGACTACACCCCGAAGAGTGGTTTCAAACTTTTTATAAGTAGAGATATATATAATTACTTAAAAAAGCAGGATGTAAAAGTGCTATAAGTTGATGAGCATTCACTTATTTTTATCCAATCATTGTAATTAGACTAATAAGCATCAATTGTAGTTTATTTTCTTCTTTTCTTTAAACCTTTATTTGTGTTCTTTGCTGCTCTTACCACAGAATTATATCATCAAGATGCAAATCAAAACCCTGAAACTTGACTTAAAAGTGGTTGTTCGAGAGACTGGCTCTGCACAAGGCGATATCTACAGTACTTTCCAAGAGGAACAGGTAACTAAGACCGGACACTGTGCATGTCAGTGCGTTTGAACTTTCACAAAAGTAACGTCACTAAATGATCAGTCAAACTTCAAAGCTTGCATCTAATTGCTAAGAGGCAAACATATTACAGTCGAACCCCGCTATTTCGAACTCGGTTAATTCGAAGTCCCCGCTATTTCGAAGGAAGATCGAATTCCCTTGGATTTACCCTTATGTTTTCAGTCATTTACTATCAGCTATTTCGAACTCGGTTATTTCGAATTCCCCGCTATTTCGAACTCATCGTTCTTTCCCTACACCTTAAAATCAACCCCGTTATTTCGAACTTGTCAAAAACAGAGTACGAACATAAGAGCACAGCTGGAAACGTTTGCATTTTATTTAAGCTCGTGTTACGTGTTTAATAACTTAACAATGCTTGACTCACGTGCAGTGTCCCGCTAAGAAATTCCAGCTGTGTTATTAGATAGATAGATAAGATAGATAATCTTTATTTATCCACGGTACAAAATTCGTCAGCTTTAAAAATGCCTAATACTAATATAATAAAAATATTTAAATAAAAAAGCTGCTTTCCACGAATGCCGTGCCTTACAGTTCTTTGAGTCATCGTTTAAATTGCCCAAGGGACTCTGCTTCCCTTAAGTTACAAGGAAGACTGTTCCAGAGAATGGCGCCACTATAGCTGAAGCTGTTTTTGTAATAGTTTGTGCGTGGTAATGGAACATTGAGTTTATTTTCAGAGTCCCTTAGGTTATATGCGACTTCTCGCCTTTCAAATTTAGAACTAAGATAGTTTGGAGCCAACCCGTGCAGAGACCTGTAAACCATTGTAGCTCTTTGAAATTGTTGTTGGGAAGCTAGGTTTTTCCACCCTAGAAGTTTGAAAAGGTGACCAGCATCTACGTCATAGCTTGAGTAGGTCAAAACACGGGCTGCTCCGTTTTGTAGCTTTTGAACCTTATTCCGTAAGGTTATCCCACAGTTTGCCCAAACAATGTTGCAATAATCAAAGTGTGGCTGTATTAAAGCTTGATATATTAGTTGTAAGGTCGCCTGAGGGACAAGGTGCCTTATTCGTTTTATGGCCCCAATACCAAAACGCACTGTTAGAGAACTGTTCTTCCGGCTGAAATACTCATGCATGAACTCTGCTGTCTCTATTCTGATCATTCGACATTGTATTTTTATTTAATCAGTGCCTTTCTTCATACTGTACTGTATTTTATTAAAAAATGCTTCATTGTTGTGAATTTTACGCTTCCCCGGTTATTTCGAAACCCCACTATTTCGAACTTTTTCCATTTCCCTTGGGACTTCGAAATAGCGGGGTTCGACTGTATTTATTTTCATGAATAAAATGTCGTTGATTGACTTTCTGATAGTTTCGAAAGAAGCGCACGCAGAGTAACACTTTTTGCCATTGGATAACCACAAGATAATCGTCTTAAGAGCGGATGTCAGTAAATATCGACCAGAGGTCTACAAAAGTGAAAAATCGAAAATTCTCAAAAAAATTCACAAAGTAGCACTAGGTAAGATATTAACATAAATGTAATGTTTGCTTCGATCCGATAATTATTTTCCAAGGACGGGGGGGTTATTGCTTTCGCGGCTCTCGGACCGGGTTTTCCAGGCCCGAGACCCTGTGTCACAAAAAAAACGTTTTAAAATTCAAACCCATTGTAATGTGGACAACAAATAACTTATTCAGAAGAGTACTTAATTGCACACATTCTAAGTGGTGATTTACTCAGTTTGAACGAAAGTGTAATATTTTGGAGATTTTTCATTATTTTCAATATTTTGAAGGTTTTCGTTCAATGAAAAAATGGCAAATTTCAAAGCCCAAAATCGTCGACTGGTACCCCGATTTCAGTAACGAGTCTTATACCACGTTAAAGAGCGTTATCTCTTCTTTTAAAATCTGTTTTCAAAACTACGGGCAACTTAAAAGAAAATGTTTGAAGCCAAAACATACAAGTAGTACTTTTCTGAAATTTGAGCTTTCCAGACGCGGCGGGCCGATGCTAAAAACTTGGAAAAATACAGTAAGAAATCCGTTTGAGCAATAGTGGTTTCATGTTATCAGCTATCAGAAACCAAGACGTGTTTATACACCGATCTGATATAAATTAATGCCGTTTGCTATCAAGAAAGGCAGATTTAAGCTGTCAACTCCTGCCAAGTGCACCAGTCACGTGAAGTTGTCAAAGGGAGGGCAAAGCACTAATATTAAAAAGTCTTAAAATTCAAAACGTTTTACGTCCATGAAATCAGATTTTAGCGTACAAAACAATGTTGTGAATGTCTGTTGTTCGTACCTTAGCATGGTGTTTCCATATATTGGAAATGTCAAGTATCCACACGGGAGAACATACCAAACACAACCTTTCAAATCCAAGCGCCGAAAGATCGTAAACGGCAAAGATTGCGTTACATTTCACAGAACGACCGCTTACCACTGTTCTCACTCCTTTTTTCGCTGGAAGCTACGAGGAGTTTTCATTCCGTCATGAGTGATTCTTGATCAGCGTTTCCTTTAAAGTACGACCCCGGACAGGTTATAACTGAGGACGTTTCGTCAAGACTCCTGTTGTTCAGTTTCAGGCTTTAGCAGGTGCGTAGTCAGGATTTTTCCGGAGGTACGCCCAGCTTTTTTCTACATCTTCTTCCCCCACCCCAAATCTCAACATTTTTTTAAGGTGCCTTTATTAAAGGTGGGGTTAACGGTTGTAAGCAAAAGCATTTTTGCTGTTTATGAAATGACACAACCTCTAAAATTCTTTAATTCTGTCGGCTTGTTATGTTCATTGACGTCAAGCGTTTATCATTAATTCAGCTATTAAAAATCAAGCTTGTAGTACCTCCGACTTTAGTTTACAAATGACTCTTTTTACCCCTTTTTGTCAAATTATTTTTGACCGACAAAAGACATATTGACGTAATTGTGCCCTACTTCGTCTACTCCGAAGACAGGTCGTGGAGAAAACAACGCGTTCACGCTTTACATCATCAAGCTTGCTTTATACGTAAATCATCCAAGATTCGGTTCTCCAATTAATGTCGTCGCTTCTCTGGCAACCGATTTTTTTTAGTTATGTTTATTTCATTCTATTTTTTTTTCCTCAACGTTTTCGGGTACGCACGTGCAAACCGTGCGTACAAGTAGCTACGCCCCTGTTTAGTCTCCTTAGCCCTGAGCGTTCCTCTCTTGCGGTTTTCGCGGGAGTTCAGGATGTGGTCCACCCAGTATTTCACGTCTCTTTTAAATGAGAGGCAGCACTTCTTGTTTACCGTTTCGTTATCAGACAGCGCTTAGACTCTTAGCCTTTCATTTAATTTTGATCAAATTTTTATCATTTAGTTACTCAGTATACGTTCGATCATGTCCTTGTAAACTTATACTTTTATACTTTAAGGGAGCAGTCGTCCAAAAGACCCAGTTTTTTGGCATTTTTTAAAAAAGCAAGAAAAAGAAACGACAAGGTTTATTTTTTTTGGACTTAGATTTATTCTTTTAATCCAAAAAATTAGCATTATAACATCATTTCGAGGCATAAAACGTTCGGTGGTGTATCCTCTTTGCTTTTTACCCTTTTCGGGCCTTTTTTTATGAAATTGACCATCAAATTTTCCGCCATATTGAGTTTGTGTCGATTTGGTGACCAAGTCTTGTTGTTTTCAGTCTCCACGGCAATGATGCTGGTGTTTCAGGCCTCCCGTTCTCAGATTTCTTGTGATTTTTTTTTTCACCCCACCGACCGACCCACCAAAACCAGGAAATCTATTCGACGTTAAACGAACGAAAAGGGGATGACCTAAGCCTTATGGTTTCTTTTTGGGCTTCCTCACCAAATTGCTTCTGCGTGTTTCTGTATACTTGTCTTTTACTTTGTTTTGTTCTTTTTGTAGGAAAAATAAACTGAAACTGTACAAAGACCCTCAATATTCCTTTGGAGGTTCTCGAACGCGCAAAAAAAAAATGAAAAACGCGATGATTTATTGACCGCAAGGGCAATGGGGTGGGGTTAGGGGCTCGTTACTGCGCTCCGGTTCACTCGTACGCTGTCAAATGGTCCTGAAATACAAAATGAAAAATGACTGTGGACAGACTATTCACGTCTAGACATCAAGCATCTTTTAAGATGGGACTTATCGCCTCTCCCTGTTCATGGAGTTGATTCAAGGTGTTGACGTTAATTTCGTGATGCCCTACATGTTGCCAGGACATGTTTCAAAAGGGCCTTTCCAAAGGTACGGAGTCCGCCGTCACCTTGTAAACCGTGCGAGAAATGATGTACTTCACAAAAACAAAGAGAAGTTATTTTCGATTTGCCCCGCCCCCTACCCCCGAAAGTCCCCGACAGGACCGCTTCAAAGTACTCCCCATGTGTTTGCGCGGGGGATAGTAACAGGTCTACCTAATTGCACCGTGCATCAATGACAGTTTAGCTGGCTAGTTCAAGGTGAGTGCACCTCCTTTAAGGTGTTGTTTTCGGTTCTTACTGAAATTTTTGATCTTGAGGAAATTCACAACGACAGGAGCAGGTTATGGGCTTTTTTCCTAGCCATAATCCTACATCACGGAAAATACCTCAGGTTAGGCAAGAATTCGACAATCCTTCCATAATCATCCATTTTTTCACCTCGTGAATTGGGCATTTTTAGCTTATTTCGAGGAAATACTTTTTGCTTCAAATCCAGGGTGGGCTTTTAAACACATTTTTTAAGCCAAATGGTTTTTGCGAGAATCTGCTTACCCGAAGTTTTCGCATAAAAAAGGACAAATACCCGAAAAAAAGCTCATGTGGTGGTAGCATATTTCCGATAAATTCAGCTAAATGTCTCGTGAAGAAGAGTTCAGATCCGTGCCACGCGCCTCTAGAGGCAAGCTTTCCGTCGAAATGCGAGCCCAAAAACAGGTGGTAAGCGGTCAATCTGTGAAAAGTAACGCAATCTCCGTCGTTTGAGAGCAGCCGAAGATGCTCTTGCCGATGCTGTCCTTGATGTTTTTTATTTCCAGTATCTAGGAAACTAATGCTAAGGTATGAAACATACACTCGTAGGCACTGTTCTGTCCGCTAAAGTCTAATTTCTGGACGCAGAAACGTTGTGCTTTTTGAAGTTTATTATTGTGCTTTGCCCTTTGACAACCTTACGTGACTCGTGCGTTTGGTAGCAGAAGATGGCTAAACTCTGCTTTTCTTGTTGGAAAACGGCTTTAAATTTTATCAGATCGCTCGATAAACACGTGTTGGTTTCTGATAGCTGATAACGTTAAATCACTGTTGCTCAAACTGATTTCTTATTGCATTTTTCTGAGTTTTTAGCGTCGACCCGCTGAGTCTGGAAAGCTCAAATTTCAGAAAAGTACTACTAGTATTTTTTGGTCTCAAACATTTTCTTTTAAGTTGCCCGTAGTTTTGAAAACAGATTTTAAAAGAAGAGATAACGCTCTTAAACGTGGTATAAGACTCGTTACTGAAATCGAGGTACCAGTCGACGATTTTGGGCTTTGAAATTTGCCATTTTTTCATTGAACGAAAACCTTCAAAATATTGAAAATAATGAAAAATCTCCAAAATATTACACTTTCGTTCAAACTGACTAAATCACCGCTTACAATGTGTGCAATTAAGTACTCTTCTCAATAAGTTATTTGTTGTCCGCATTACAATGGATTTGAATTTTAGAACGATTTTTTTGCGACACATGGTCTCAGGCCTGGAAAACCCGGTCCGAGAGCCGCGAAACCAATAACCCCCCCGTACGTGGAAAATAATTATCGGATCGAAGTAAAAATTACATTTATGTTAATAGCTTACCTAGTGCTACTTTGTGAATTTTTTTGAGAATTTTCGATTTTTCACTCTTGTAGACCTCTGGTCGATATTTACTGACATCCGCTCTTAAAGCTCTTGATCAGTTTCACTTTTACTTTTGAAATTCTTGATTTTATTTAGAATCACGACTCGCAAACCTGTTTGAACCCAGAAAGTGCTCCTCTTCCAAATCACAACAACCAAACTTGTGAACCCAGGCCTCTGAGTCTAACGGAGCAAACATGGAACAAATTACGCACGAATACAGTGGCGATAACAGCTTGGACATGGGACGGAGTAAACAGGGCATCAAAAGCAACTGTTGACTTTGTGGCGACAATGACCTGTAAATTTTGCGGTGGAGTTAAGCTTACGACAGAGTGGATCTTTGACAAGGTGCCGTTTATGGCTGGGTGGACCACGTGGCAGCGAATCTTGTGGATGGCGCGGTGGACCTGGGACAATGCAACCGATTTTGCAGAGTGGACTTGGTGCCAACTCACTCACCTGGCTAACGGAATTTGGGATACGATTGCACGGATGATTAATTTCTGCTTCACCTCGATTTTCGCCTTCATTGATAACGTTTCTGAGCTATACACTGTATACTTGAAGAGTAAGTGAAGATCCTGTTTGTAAATAACAATTACAAGCAATTAACAATTGACTAGCCACCGACACTGAGGTGAATAATTGTTTTAGTATATACTAAAACAGTGAGATAATTGAGCAATACTGTTGCCAACGATTACAATTTTGGCGCGTAATGACCGGGCGGCCGCGGCCGTCGCTTTTTCTTGCCGACAATTAAAACTTTTGAAGGCATTTGTTTAGCTCTTGCGGGGAAATTTCTTCAAATGGAGTTGTGAATTCTTTTTGTATTTAAAATCATTCTATAAAAAAAGATTATTAAATTTAGTTTTAAGCTTATTTATAAACAACTCAACTAAATAAAGTAACCCAAGACTTAAAACTTAATTTGCATTTGTAAACAACAAACTTTTTCACCGGTTTTATCGATAAATTCGTGTCAAAAAGACAAAGCTTTACCTGTTAAAACTTCCAATCCGACCTTCGTCACCTTCTTCGTGTATTTCGGAAACAGCTTGCTTGATTAGTTATGAAATTTCTTTGTTTGTTTACGGCAGCAAACCGGGAAGGCATTTTGCTTGCAACTTACGTGAGTTTGGCGTCGCTCGCTCGGAGGAACTGGAGGTGAATCAGTGAATAGTGCAGGATAGTCACTGATTGAGTAGCCAATCAGAGCGCTCGAAAAACACTATCCACTGTTTTAGTATATACTAAAGTAAATTATATCGAGCACAGCTTGACCGTAGTAGCTAAAGAAACACTTCACTGAAACTCAGGGAGGCATTTTCGGGGTCTGCGATACGGTGCGGGATTCGGAAAAACGAAAAATGTCTCGATGAGAAACGGTATTTTTTTATATTAAAAAAAGAAGCGAGAATGTGAGATCAGGACCTCTCTCCGCAGATACTGCAGACTGTATTACTATTGCCTGGTGATCAGTACCCTGGGTACCAGAGGTTTTTTCTCGCGTGCGACGGGGAGCTTCGCTTCGTCGGCTGCAGGCAAACACGTGTTCGGCCGAAGGCCGAAGACTCGAGAGGTTCGCGCAGGTCACTTTTTAAGACTTGACCGAAACTGGAAACCGCGCATGAAGGGCCTCTGGCACCCAGGGTAGGTGCTCAGTCAAACGCCAGATAAGACTTTCTTACCAAAACATAACAGAAACTCTCAGAGGTTGTGTGCTCAACTCGCCGTACCCGTCTAATCTAAATGATTTGGAAATTTGCTGAATGTAACGTAGGCTGCTACACAGCCGTTTTTAGAGTCGTCGCGCAACGCTCCTCCCCAGGAGCGTTGCGTGACGACACTAAAAACGGCTGTGTAGCAGACTAAGTGTAAAGATGTACTGTTTTGTTATCCACAGGTCACGTGACATACATCAGATCCTTGTTTGGTGGTATTACCAGACAGGAAATAATCAGAACACTGATTACAAGTTTTGTGTTGGTTTCTACCCTGCTCTTCATTAACAAGACGATCAGATATGTGATTAGGAGACGAAGGTAAGTGAGTCCTGACTTGCACTTTTAATTGAAATAAATGTACATGGCAAGTAGATCAACTCACAAAACACGACAACAGAATTGATCCTCAAGAAGCACCACTAGTTTGTTGTTTAGGGAATTTTTTAGGGTAGTTTCCGTACATTGTCCGTAGTCCTTTCGTTTTTGACCTGAACATCAAATCATCAGTCATCATTTGTAAAACGCTTTGTAGAGAAATCAGTTTTTTGTGACTTGCTCAAAACGTCCAGTGACCTAGAAATTAAATAGCCTGAGAAAACAGCCGAGATTTGGCAAAGCTACCACTGGTTTCCCCGCCAAATGACGTCTGTGAAACGAAAGCAGAAATTCCATACTGATGACGCGTCACTACCGAGATCTCGGTAGTGCTTCTGATTGGTTGAATCAAATTTCCCACGCGGCACGACATGACGCGTCATCAGTATGGAATTTCTGCGCTCGTTTCTCAGACGTCATTTGGCGGGGAAACAAAAGTCGGCTGTTTTCTCAGGCTAGAAATTATACAATATGATAAAGGTGCAGTCTTTCTTAGCACAATTGACAGGACCCAGAGATGAGTATGAATTTAGATGACGTCAGTGGTGGAGTCAGCCTGAGAAGGCAGTCGACATTTCGCGACACCGCCACTGGAAACCCCGCGAAATGACGTCCGATCCAGAAGCTAGCGCAGAAATTCCGTACTAATGACGCGTCACTACCCAGATCTGGGTGGTGCTTCTGATTAGCTAAAGCAGCTTGACCAGTCAGTAAAACTACCCATACCTCGTTAGTGACACGTTATCAGTATGGAATTTCTGCGTTTCTCAGACGTGATTTCGCGGGGAAATCTGTGGCGGAGTCGCGCAATGTTGGCTGTTCTCTCAGGCTATTGCTAGGTCCAAAATGTCAATATACAGTGGGGGCGGGGGGGGGGGGACGGGGGTTATGAAAGGCAGATCTGGCGACTAATTAGTACCTAAAGATAGAAAATACAGCAACTAAGTTAATAATCAAAGAATGTTTTTTCTGTTGACAGACAAGCACGGTTGGAAAAGGAAGCTGCCGAACGGGTTGCATCTGCAGCTTCCCAAAAGCCAATATGGCGTCCAAAACCAAAGAAGAAAAAGAAAATTGACAAGAAGGGCTGGTAGTCTTCCCCTTTTATTTTCATTCTTGGTTGAAAATTGTAATTTTTGATATATTGCTCAGAAATAATTGATTTATGTATGTAAGACGTCCTCTGATTTTTGTTCAAAAACAGTACCAATGGATCACTCATTAAAATACAATTTGTGACACTATTGCCTGGTTCCGCTTTAAGTTGTTGTAGCCTGCGTAGCGGGCGTCAGGTTTTATCAGGGCGAAGGGAGAAATGTCGAGGACGCGCGCACACGAGGGGAGAAAAGGAAAAGAGACAGACAGACTAACCCCCAAAGGTGCTTGTAGCCAATGAAATTCTACGCACTGCCAGAGATCGTAGAAAAAGGCAAAACTAGGGCGTGACCGCAGGCGCCTCCTCTTCTCGCTCCATGTCGAGGAAATCTGGATTCCGGACTCCGGGAAATTTTTTCTTGTGAAATCCGGAATCCTGGGCTTTGGAATCCGGAATGCAGCTCAAAGAATCTGGAATCCTACTAAAGTTTGGAATCCAGAATCCAAAGACCGGAATCCAGGGCGTGGAATCCAGAATCCATGACTGTCCTTGATCCCCGTGACTACTCTTCCCTTAGCGTGTTCTCCAGCACCGTTACCCCCAAAAAAAAGAGACAGAAAGAAAAAAGATGCCGGCCATTGATGCTGTTGTTGTTGTATTTTTTCGCGTCCCAGGTAAGTTGATCTGAGTCTTTTGAAAGAAAACAATGAACGTATTAAGTGCATAAACACCTAGTGTCCCGTCTGCTACCCCCGACGGGGCCCCTAACAGGAACAGCCAAGGTATGCAGCAGGGGTGGGGGGTGGGTGGGAAAGTGACACGTTTCTTGACCCACTCCGTCTGCCAGTGTGACGTCACATAGTAACGGGCAAGAGCCTCGGGTCGTTTGTTGAAATTAGCAAGGGATACCACAGTTATTAGGTCGAGTGAGTTCGAGGAAAAGCTAAGAAGCTAGCAAATATCGCTATTTATCGCTAATTTGATAGAAGGTGTATGATATTTGGCGTTACTATAATCTGCTTGTGTAAACCGTTTTGATATTTTGTGTCCGTAATTGTGTAATTTTGTTAATTTGTTTTGCGGGCCGTGTTGCGGGATCGCCATCTTTTTCACGGGACCGGCAAGGTCATCAAAAGTTAAATCCTTTTTTTCTCTAAAATAGGCAAGGTCTAGTCTCCAGAATAGGAGGTTGCATTCAGAGATCACACATGTTTATATTTTACTTATTCTTTCGCTAATTAAAACGGTCTAACTTCATATCAATCCTTTCGAGTGTGGGCCTCTTTTAATCTCTTAATTCTCCACCTATCTACATCGATCGGCCCGTTGAACCAGAAATAATGCAAAATAGCTTTGAAAATAATACGCGCTTAAGCTAATTTTCCTCAAATGTGCATTTGAATTCATGATAAATACAGCTCCACTAGCTTCAAACAGCGTCTAAAGCAGAGAAAAATGGTTTTGAGATAACAAAATTAATTTTTCATAATGTGTGTACAGTGTGTCTCTGTGGTGCAGTGGTAAAGGAGTTGCTTGCACGTGCAGATTTACCGGGTTCAACTCCCGGCGGCTCTGTTTTCTGTTTCTTTGGAACGTTTTTTTTCTGTTCAGACTTTGTTTTTTAACACTATTTTTCCTTTCGGTCTGTTTTCCTTTATTCTTACTGCTGACCCCGCTGATCATGCACTTGGATCAATATGTATTTTAAGCCTAAGTCTGGAGTTTTACTTTGGAAAAGGGATTTCAAGAGCTCTCTGATCTACAATCATACTGGCCAAGCTTTCGACCAGAAAAAACCATAAGCTGTCAAGACATGTCCCTCCTCTGAAACAGCTAATTTTTTTTCAGTGTTAGTTGACATTATGACAAACAACACACGGTACGCCACAAACTGTATTAGTTCACACCCAACACCCACCAGTGACCCACTGGCGTAATTTAAACTTGCCTTTTGTACGTCGTCTTAATCATTAATATTATTTCCCTAAAATCTCCACTGTGTTTGCCTCCAAACAATAATTAAACGAAACCTCTTTTTTGGTTTTCGGGACTTAATTACAGAGAATTACAGGTGTATGCCCAGTACAGTATTAAAATGCGGTAAAGCAACAAAATTCAGTGCTCACAGTCTCCCACAAATACCTCAGTGTCATTTAGCTTCCTCTTTCAACGTTACAGATGAACCTCCTATTGCTGTGTCTAAACTCCTGCTGTGCACTGGCCCTCAAAAGTGTGACCGGCCGGTATGATTGCCCGTAAAAGAAGGGAATGTTTAAAATTCAATACACTACTGGACGTTTCATTCCAAAAAAGTACTAAAGTATTTCCGTATTACAGTATTTCCGTGATAAATTCGACATTTTTATCCGTCTCTTCGATGAACACTTTGCTCGCCATTTTGAAAGTCACTGATGCGAGACGTGACGTCATACTGGCAAGCGGACTGAACCACCCATTTCCTTGAAGACACCTTCCCCCTCGTGGTATCCAGAGGATCTTTCGTCTCCCCTCTCGTAAGCTAATGCTATGGTGACCAACAAAAGCAGGGACCATGAAGAGGAAAAGGTCAAGCTAACAGCCTTTGGGACCACTTCTGTTTTTTTCAAGGGAGAGAAGGCTCCAATATGAGGTCTAAGACTCCTATCCAGATCTATCCAAATTTAAAACACTTCTACACTGAGAGGTCTTAAATTGCCCTTACCTGCTGCTAAACGAACAGAACCTTTCATACCGTCGGTCATGTGATTTAGCTTGTTTTTTTTTTAATCAAAGTTCGAGACCACAATCAGAGTTGTCTTTGCACTGTTCACACATATACTAGTGTTGGTTTTGTAGCTGATGTCATGGCGGCTATGTTGGTAGACAAGAACAAAAGCGTTTCCCTAATCTGGAAACTAAACCTTTTTAATGCACGGCCGGCCTTGCCAACACGTTGCAAACCAAGAATTCATCAATTAAAGGACTTGTCAGAAATCAGAAATTAGCAGGGGGGGGGGGGAAAAGAGAGAGGGTCACAACTTTTTCGGAGTTCAGGAAAGGGAGGGGTCATGAAAAATGAGCCGTTAAAAGGGGGAGGGTCATGCAAATATGAGTCCGTGATCATGTAGAGGTTCACCCACAGAAGAAAAAAGAAGTTCTTTATTTTGTTAAAAAAAAAACTGGGAGAAATAGGAGAGTCGAGTGATCAGCTGTCAGAATCAGAGTCGGAATCTTAATGCTGTCATCTAAAATGTATGTATATGGCATTACAAAGAACAGATTAGAAATATATTTTGAGCTTTCATAATACTGACTCACCGTAGTGTGTTACAAGAATTTACTTTTATCATTTATACAAGAGGGGGAGGGTCATGATATTTTAGGCCAAGGTCAAGTGGAGGGTTAACAAATTTCACTCCCATTGCAGGGATGGGTCACCTCATTTCCGAACCCAAATTTAAGAATTTAAACTAAAGAATAAGGCCAAAATTTTATCATAATAAAAATCCAAATTTGACTAGAACTTTTTTAAAAGAGAAACGAAGCCTCCCATTTTGTTTGTAACGGCTCATTTGTTAAGCGCTTGGAGTTTGAGTTATCGGTGTGTTGGTAAAGGTCAAGAGACTTCACATCGCCCACAAATACGATCATACAAACAGATCAAGTTGCCCACAGTCGACCATTCCGTCCTTGGAGAACAGTCCTCTAGGGTACCATGGGATAACAAAACTTACAAGCTAAAAACGTCTGTTAAACAGTTCGGAAAAGGAAAATACCGTTTTCACAAACCCCAAGGATCGTCAAGTTAAACTTTACTACCCAACGAAAAAAGCCGTGACTCTTAGCATTATATCTGGCCAAAAACAAATTCTGATGGCTCAAACAAATCAGCATCTTTCCTTTAAGTACGTGGAATTTGCACTTGAGAGAAATCATTTCTGTAACTGACGTTGCAGTTCTAACTGAACGATTGAGACTATTGAGCTCGTGTTTAAACCGGTCTTGCTGAAACAGTTTCATTTCTTATAACCCTTGGATATCTTTATGACGCTTTTGACATACGCGAAATCGTGGTACAAAAAAATTCTGACAACGCAGGTGGAAAACCCACTCGCGGTTTTTCACTTCAACACGAAACATTTACTGCTTTGAACTACGCCCAAGACTTTGGAGCCACAGTGAGGGAATCGCTTAAAAGAACTACGAATTCGAAGTGGGCTACACTCACGAAAAGTCGAATTGTCCCGTGTCAAATACTTTTATGCCTTTGTCATCACTCTCAACTGTCTCTTCCATCGCTGCAAACATGAAGTTGTGATGAGGTACTGGATAGAGAACTTCCCACCTTTTTGACAACGAACTATAAGAAGCGAATCAAGTCAAGATAAAGCGGGATCTTTACCACCAGCGTCACGGGACTATGTCATGCTCTTTGCTATCTTTTCAAAAGGCTAAAAAGATTTTTCTTTGCATCAATTGAATTCCAAAAATGATGGTCCAGTGTTGCTATTTTTAAAATGCGGGCTGCAAAAGTAAGTTTGGCTGTCTCAGTACTCTAACTTTTACGTATATTTTGACATTTCGATCCTTCTCTTCTTACATTCGAAATAATTTAACTATTAATGTTTTAGAGGGCTCACCCACTTCCAAATAATTGGATGTTGGTTATCAGTGGATAGTCTGGTCTTATAACTGATAGCGTCTGTAGAACTTTCGCATTAAACATATTCTATCCGACCAACAAATCTCCCAACAATTATAGCCTTGCAATGTATTTGGTCTTTTCAACGAAACAGTCACAGGGCGCTGCTAAAGTGCTCTCCGTCTGACAGCCTGGGGCTAGTGTAAAGACCCGTTGGTTGTTTCGTTTCCGTGAGAATTCTGTTTCAATGAAGTTTCATGTTACCCTCTCCGCGATGAAAAGTTCTGCCTACGTCCCTGATTTGTTGCTTGAAAATTGTGATCAGATGGTGTTGTGCACTACAAACCATACGCAGACTGGCTTTTCTATTTAGCACT